ATATATATATATATATATATATATATATATATATATATATATATTATATACATATATAATACATATATATACATATATAAAGAAAATCAACGCAAATAAAAAAAAATACACAGAAAGTATATATTTTATACTTCATATTTTTACTAAAATATTGAATGAATGCTCTAATTGTGCACATAAATACATATAACAATTTATAAGGAAATAAAGAGTTTTAAGTAGCAGAAAAAATGCGTTCGAAATTATGCAATATTATATAGAATATTTAACAAAAACTGTGATACAATCGAAGAGAAATGATTCTTTACGCTACCAAAACAAGTAAGAGCTATAGAATAAATTTTTTCGATAGGTTTAGGTTATTAATTTCCCGAAAAAATGGTTTTGGACACGAAATTATTTTATAGGTGTACAACTAATTGAAACGTTTGTCAACAAATTTTCCCAGTTTGTACAAAATAATAAAGTATTAAATTATATTATTTGAGAAATATTAAAACGTTACCGTAAAATATTTTCTAGGAGAGGTTACGATAAAAACGTAAAACTACAAGTAGATTTTTAATTCTGTAGTTATTCAACGGCGAATCCGCAACACACGATCGGATTTTTAATTCAAGCAAGTTTCCTGCAGAGGCGCCACAATTCACTTTTGCATACCCTTGTGATAGTTTTCACACGAATTGGTTAGATGGTGCTGATCAAAAGAGTATAAACAATGTGTATTATATTCTTACATTTATATTTTTAATATTTATCAGCAACACATATGCATTCAAAGAAAGTAAAGATTCAACGAAAGAAAAAGCACTCTTTCATATACTTGAACAAGGTATGATAAACATTTTTTATCGATTTATACGAAATTTGACAATATACCACAATTATTTAGCAGATATTCGAAAATTATATAATTAAAACTCTTCTAATTATATGATAATTATTATAATTTAACAGTATAACACACATTTTCTAACTTCATAAAATTTACCTTTAGAGGTTTACATGTTTGAATATGAGATTTTATATAACAATTTAACTATGGAATCATAATTTTTACTATACTTATCAATATGAAACAAATGTCAAGTATAAAGTTGATTAAAAATAAAAAATTTTATTTCAGGACTGATAAAGCTTGCAGAAAGAGATATACACTAAATATGTAGTGTAACTCTGGCTGATGCAATGTACTGTTTATTTCGAGCTTGTTGTCTAAAGAGTTTATTTATATTGAAAGCTAAACCACGATATGTGCTCCTTTGTATCTGTGTGATTGTGCTGCTGGACTATTTTGGAGCATTCACACATCTATTTGAGATAACATACGATGAAAACTTTGTTTATCCATATAAGGGCAATATACATGAGCTAGCAAATGCATTGCGACATAATGAAAAGCCTGATGTTGAACCTATAAATGAATACAAGTATTCTTTTGTGCTACACAACCCACAAAAATGCACAGAAGCTGGCTATAGTACATTCCATGTTGTATATGTAGTAAAGACTGCTTTAGAACATTTTGAAAGAAGAGCTGCCATACGTAAGACATGGGGATATGAAAAAAGATTCTTTGATGTGCCATTAAGAACCATTTTCTTAGTAGGCATACATCCAGATAATGAGGAATTACAAGCAAAACTAAAAATAGAAGCAGCAAAATACAAAGACATTGTACAAGCAGATTTTGTAGACACATACTATAACAACACTATAAAAACAATGATGGGCTTTAAGTGGATAGTAAAGTATTGTTCTAATTCAAAGTTTTATATGTTTTGCGATGATGATATGTATATATCAGTAAAAAATGCATTAAGATTTGTCAGAAATCCAGCTAAATATCCAGGTTACTTTAAAGAACCCAAGAAATTATCTGCACATAAAAGAGAGATTAAGCTTTCCGATATGATAATTAGTAATCTTAGTAATCAAAGTATGATTCATGATGCAACAGTTAAAAGTTCGTCTATGCAAAGCTTTATTATTAATAAATCGGCAAAAAATAATTCGAAAAGTAATATACATGCAGGACAAAATGAAAGAGTCAATGAAAATTTTAAAATGGAAGATAAACAGTTGATTAGATTAAATATGTCCATGTTAAATAGAACAAAACGACAGCTCTTCGATTTCGAGCTCCCAGACGACGCTAGACTGTTTGCAGGATTCGTATTTATATCCTCACCACACCGGCATAGATCCTCTAAATGGTATGTCTCATTAAAAGAATACCCATACAATTTATGGCCACCCTACGTCACAGCTGGTGCATACATCTTGTCTAAAGAAGCTCTCTTGGACATGTACTACACTAGTTTTTACACCAAACACTTCAGATTCGACGATATTTTTCTAGGTCTAGTAGCAAAGAAAGCTGAAATAGAGCCATTTCATTGTGAAGACTTCCATTTTTATAAGAAAGAATATACGAAATATAATTATAAATATGTCATAGCATCTCATGGATATGGAGATCCAAACGAACTCTTACAAGTATGGAACGAACAAAAAGCTCTCGGAAATGCTTAAATTTATAAACATAAATATGCAAGAATATTTGTAATAATATAGTAAAAGTATATAATATATATTCCATTTACATGGATATTTAACTCTTTCCATATTTTAAAATAATGAACAATCAAACATTACAATGCATATTGTTGCTAAAATTATTATCTAATACATTAGTATATATCGCTATTTTAGTGATATATAAATATATTTCAAAAATATATGGTGATATAATCTACAGTAATATAGCAGTCTCATTATTTATTATAAAAGATATGGTGATATTTTCATCTCTAGAATAGATTTTATGCTACATAATCAGTCTTATGCATATATATATATATACACATGTTGCAATAAAAAATTGACGTTATATGTATTATATAAAAATACATTATATACTGAATATACAGTCAAACATAACACATTAATATAACTGATATAAATTAGATATAAATTTTATTATGATCAAAAAATAATTTAGAATTAATAATGCTAAAATTCTGTATACACAATTTTGTTCTTGTTAGTTGGTAATAACTATGTTTCTGTGATAATGCCTGTCAATAATTCAATAAATATACTTCCATTATTCACCAAGCTTTTTATCAAGCTTCAATTCTTATTGTCGATATTGCTGCTTGTCAATGTTTACTTTGACTAAAGTTTGATCCAAACTTACAGCTTCTTTTTTTATCATATTAAGCAATAATTGTGAGCTCTCCAAAATCTATAATAAAAATATATATAATTTATGAGTTAAATATTATTTTGTGAAAGAATATAAGTATATATAAGTTATAAACATACAACCTTTACCTTCATGTAAGCTGTTTCAGTATCTGCTATTGTTCTGTCATATTCATTCCTGACTCCAATTCTCTTTGCCAAACTGTCATTTAAAAGTGTAAGTTTACATGACATTTTCTCGATTTCGCGTTGTAAATTATTTTTTTCTTCTTCCTGGGACTCTATCTGAGCTTGGAGTTCAGCTCGTTTCAGTTTCATCTCTTCTAAACCTAAAACGTATTGCATATACATATGTAATCTATCTAATTAGGAATTAGATTAGTACAGTCGAAAAAAACAGGTTTTATCTTTGAGAAAATTGAACAATAACTTTCCATGTAAAATACATTGCGATTTACCTATATTAATTTTTAGGTTAAACGATATCACTTACATTTAACGAGCTCCTGGTTATACGTTTGTAGGGCAGCTCCGTGCTGAGACATCATGAACCCTCCATTAACGCAAAATTTTCATAGAAAACGTGTATAATGATCAAAAAGTTATGAGAAACGGATAATGTTTACTAACAATACGTTGTCAAGACATTTATATAGACGAGATTTTAGTTTGGCGCGCAATTCTCTACCAACGATATTTTGCGCATGCGTACCAGAAACTACAAAAATACGAATGTGTGTTCTCTTTTAGTAAATTTTTATGTAAAGAATTTTTTAAATCTCCCATTAATTCTCGTGGAAATTCAACTAAACACACATAATGTGATCATCTTATATGGAAACACTTATATTTTCTATTCTTAAAAATGTATGTACGAACATAATAACAAATTTCTGAAGCTGCATTTTATAATCTTATAATTTCACATGAGCCTTTTTCCTGATCCCACAAATCGCTTGTTTCAGGAAAGACATTACTATAAAAACCGTGATTTTCCAGCTAACACAAAAGAAAACTTAGTAACATTAACACACGATGCGTAAACTATACAAGGACCTTCTAATCGATTATCTCATTTGATTTCCGTAATCACTCCTGTCTCAATGGCTGAAGAGAATCTTCTATTTCATAAGCAAATATATATTTATATAAAACAAAAGTTTTCAACGCTATTTTGCGTGAAACAAAGTTTCTCTGTTAGAGGTTAGGTTTTTAGACGGAAGTTAACTCGATAATTTTAAATTTGTGCAAACTCTGTGCAGCCACGGACGGGTGAGATGAATAATCGCAGGCGATCATAAGAAGGACAACTCGTGCTACACCTGAGCTCGCCTTTTAAAGGCGTCACAGGAGCGTGGTGGAAAAGCGCACACTACGATGAATGCGCCTTTCGCTCGGGAGCACCAACCATTCCAGCTATTCCAGCCGAGAAGTGAACGAGTGAGCGAGCGAGCGAACGAACGAGCGAACGAACGCGCGATACAGACGGACAGACCGACGGACGTTTCGCTACGATCGTGTCTCGATTTTGCGCTTCGATCGGCCGAACGCGATGCACGACGCCGCTGGTCTGCGCGAACGTCGTCGCCGTCGAGATCGATCATCAATCGTCGTGAGTGCTCTTTGATACAAGTGCATGAGACGCGTACAAACAATCACGAGGAGGCGAGGAGAGAAGCGCACGGTATGGGCCAGAAGCGGTGAATCAGTTCGCCAAAAACTGAGCGAGCGATCGATATGTCGCGATCCAGCTTTACGCGCGTTTCCACGAGACGACGAGGAATCGGCTGTTAGCTGGTAAGAAGGAATCGGCAGGATTCGTTTCCCGAACGGACAATGAGTTGTAAGCACCACCGGTTGATCGATCGTCCGTTCTCCAGCGCGAGAATTTTGAGCGGACCGATCGAGAGATCCGTGCGTCTCGCCGATCGATGCGAGCGCGTGCGTTTCTCGTGACGCTCTCGTGCGTCCCGCGCGCACTTCGGTCCAGCGAACTTCGCTCGCGTTTCTTCGCTGATGTTTCTTCGAGGATCTGTCTTGTCATGGAGAAGAAAAGAAGTGTCGCGCGGTATGCGTCCTCTTTCGCGGCGTCTGCAGCGTCGTAATACGATCCACACGTGCGATCGCGAGTTTATTTGAAAGTCACGAATAACGTAATATAAAAACGGCGGTAAAGCAGGATTTTAATAACCGGTTATCAAATGAACGAATTTTTATAGACAACAATTTGATATTTTTCCTGTCGAACGGACAGGCTTATTATATTTTCTTGAAAGTATAAGTAAACTTGAGGAAAATGAGAAGCCCAGATTTACGAATTCTTATCTTTGAAATTCTTATCTTTGAATCCGGAACTCGGCTCTATGACTATTGAATTCCTTTCTACTTCACATTCGTAGGTATTTTATTGCATCGTTATGTAGCACTAAAATGTTAGGAATAGTAAGTAATCCGGAAATGTTAAAGCCGAACTGTACGTGCTACTTAGGCAGTTAATTGTAGAGAAATTTCTCGCGATTCATTTCAATGCGTTTATTTTTCACGAGACTAAAACTAGTAATCAGTTGCCGAGTAAAAAGTGACATCAAGTTCGATCGTTTCCTTCTATCGTATCGCGTCGCGCAAATCGATTTTTCGTGAATTTTTAAAGTCATAGTTAAAAGAAAACGATATTAATTTATAAAAAAGACATTAAAGTTAAATTCTATCACGAGAGAAGTAAAAGAAAGACAATCAAAGGCGAAGGGTATGCGCATTGCCAATCGAAGATGTTGCATACGTCCTTGTTAAATGACATCATCGTACTAAATAAGGATTTGAGCAACACGACGGACGTGCCGTAGGCACTGCCTACGACCGAGAAACAATCCTCATGATAATGCACCATTTTGCAATCGATCGATGCGCAGGCAGTACAATCCTCTTAAAGGAATACCACGCCTAATGATAAATAAATGATAAATGTCTTTTTTATCGCGCAGAATATTTTATCATTAGAATTATTAATTTAAATGGAACTTAAATTGATTACCGTTCTATAACGACATTGTAGAACTGAAAATTCTCGAGACGCGATTTATTTCTCCCTAAGATTATAAAATAATTCAAAATTGCAAATCTTTGATGTTGTAGGTTGACAGTAAAAATAACACGTATAAAGAACGATTCCGATTTCTACAGTGTACGCAATATACGTAAAAATGGAAACAGGTACACTTCTATCACCTTGCGCACACACTCGCAGTGTAATTCTTTTTTACCTTTTTATTCTTCAATTATTGTAATTCAGAGAAGATCCATTGATAATCTAAGAAATGTTCCTTTCTGTTTTAGATGAGCTAAGCGGATGTTATTGATCAATTGCGTAAGATTTGTCTTTAACGCCCCTCACGCGAGTGCATTGATACAGACCCCAAAATGCACACATCAAGATATCCTGGATATCATGTTAACACGAATCGCGATTACATTACGGATGGCGAAGAGAGCCATAGAGCTCCTTCCGACCGCACCGTGTCCGAATATATCGTTAGTAACGAGCATACCACTATGGTAATGTATTATGTACTTATGCTACTGAAACGTTTTCTCATTTTCATTTGAAATTTGGATATTACTCTACTCTCTTGTATATTTTTAATATTACATATTTATTTTTTTCACAGGTGAAACCAATAAGAAAGAATCATGCGGATAAGTACGACAGGGAAGAGGACAGGAGATCCAAAAGCGCGCACAATACTCGTGATTCGGTATTGTCTGGATCTTCAAAGCATAGCTTACATCCGCTTCGTAAAAGTGCCTCGCATGGCAGCATTTGTGACAATGGTTCGGATATATATGTCACTAGTGCTGCGTACAGAGCTACTTCCGACATAAGGTATTGTATGTCGGATTTGTGTGGATATACAGTTGAATATGTAGTTTTTATAAATACACTAACAATTTTAAATACGTATTTTATGTTACAAACAGTCGAGTATCACGCCATAGTTTAGCACCAAGCTCTAGATTGGATCACAGAGCGCCTAGTCATTATAGCTATGGTTCTGGCAGATCGGGTACTTCAACAGTAAAAACCCACACGTCACGGAAAGGCGGTATAATCGTGGAAACTATGTCAACGCCTAATCCTTTCTGCCCAAATACTAAAGGCGTTTGTTGTCTCATGTTACTTCTCAATCTTGGTTTGATTCTAGTAACTCTGGGTTTTGTTATTGTTATACAATTTTTCCAGCCGCTAGTTGTGTGGTAAGGACACTGTGCAATAAATTTCTACATAACATAACTGACACTCACGAATCTAAATTAATAGATATAATAGTTTTAATTATAAAAAGTAATTACTTTTATATATATATATATATATATATATATATATATATATATATATATATATATATATAAAATTATACATTAATCTATATTTTCTTTTCTTTATTAGGAAATTAGAGATTAGTAGAATAGAAAATATAATTTACAATATTTGATATATCTTACGAGACTTCTTTTCACAATATAAATATTTTTCTTTAGGATATTGGGAATAGTATTCCTGGTGTTTGGATTTTTGACATTGATTGGCAGTCTTGTATATTGTGTACACGTATTTAGAAATGCCAAACACCCACATGATATCAATCCAGAAGATTTATATTGGACACGTTACTGGCAGGGTCATGTCGGTTCGACGCCTGAAGTTTATTATAAAGCTGAAGACAAATATCAGGATGATGGCTACAGCGATCGATATAGTAAATATTCGGGGAAATATTACGACAGGCAAAATCAAAGATATTAATTAAAATATGGAGAATAATGTTGACATTAATTGGAATATCGATCACTTTGCCAATTTACATATATAAAAAATTTAAAAGACAATAAAAAAATAAAAAAAACTAATCTCAGTGCAATATAAAATCTACTACTTACGTATATATGTACACGTAAATATTGTACACTAACATTTCTTTTCCCTTTTACAGGAAACGTTATTGTAAATTTATATTATATCTTTTATATCAATAAATAATCCATAAAAAGATTGTTTTTATCTAAAAAATAACATCTAGGTTCTTTGGTACTAATTATTTAATTAGTAGTAGTAATTCATAACAACTTAATATGTTAGTATATTAACAATATCTATATTTTATGAAATATTTATATTTCATGTACGAAATATAAGTACATAATATTTTATAATTCAATAACTATAATTACGCAAAAAGTTATACGTAAATATACTATCTACAATTAGAATATCCTAACGTATGATCAAAGAGTTCGGGATTTAGGAACGTACCCTTTGTTTCAAGCAAGTAATGAAAACTTTTATGTTTTAGTTTAAGCGATACAACACTTGTTCCATCTGACCTCTGGTTGACACATCTTATCTTAAAAAAGAAAATATTGCAAGTGAGAAACATTAAAAGAATTGTAATTTCAGTTTTATCTTTATATAACTGCTATTATATAATATTATATATTATACTTTTTTATGATTTTTCTTTTATATTATTTATATAATAAAATAACTTTGATAATTTTTTCATAATATATCATTTCTTACCATGCTTATAGGTACTTGCATATTACAATCTTTATTCCATAAATTGGAGGTAGTAAGTGTAACTATTTTACCACCTTTGTGTAGAATAATATACCTAACAGTACGTCTACATAAAACAGAAATTACAACAAACGCGGAGGGACCTAGAAAACGAATATATTACTATAAAAAGAAGACAAGTACAAAATTTACTACTGTTCAATTTATGTTTTTATATACATATATAGTAAATTGAATATATATTATGAGATAAAAATATAAATCTTATTTGTAATTTAAATTTTCATTAAAGAAATAAGGGTAGTCTTACCTATAAAAATTGATAAGATGAAAAAAGTAAGTCTAAAAATATGCTTGTTTACATAGTCTGGCAAATTTATATCAGTACAGAAAATATCAAAAAAAGATGGCGTATACGTATAGATAGCCAAAATTGACCATCCAATTAATTGTGCAATTGCAAAAATATTCAAGAATCGTGTATGTCTATAATTCTCATTCTTGTATAAGATCACATTGTTCTTAACATTTGTATCTATGTCCAATCTTATTATTTGCTGTTGCCTTACTAACAAGTTCTGTGACATTTTAGGTTTGAAAAATCTTCCTGATTGTAATAATCCATCAGATAACCTATATTTTCATTATTTATATTACTTGGTGAGATATATTATGAACAAACTTTTTAATTTTTGTAACTAAAAATATACAGGATGCCTAAGGATTACTATGTGTTATTTTTGTCAACTGATATTTTCAACAGTTTGTAGTTTTTCCTTAATAATAATATAATGAGATAATTTCCTCAAATGAGATTATAATTCAAAATTATATTAATGCTTTAAAATTACTGTGTCTTTTGTTAATTTTGTCTCTTACTTATAAATTACAAGCAATAACAGTAGTTCAAAAACATCCTATATATATATATATATTTGATCATTACTAAACTTAATATTTGTTGTAACATAATATATATATATATATTATGTTACAACAAATATTAAGTTTAGTAATGATCAAATGTTAAAACATTATTCACAAAAAAGTATATTTTTTTATAAAATATATAATATACTGTATAAATATATAATATAAAATATACTGTATTATATCTAAATATGTTGCAATACAATTATATTTTACCTTGTGTTTCTTGTTAGAAATGTTCTAAAAGTCAATATCTGAGGAAATACATTTTTATCCTGTCTAACACATCTTTGTGTTAATTTACAAATGGATTGTACATCAGTTAATAAAGTTCTCATAGAAATAGAGTGTTTCAAAATTGTACTCAACATCTTATTTTATCCTTCTGTTATTACACAAAATATTAATTAAAAACAATATTAACTAAATATTAATGTTTAAGGAACACCATTTCCTGTAAAAAAAAATGAAAAAATGACATTTTACTTTCTAAATATAGGCTTTTCTTAAAATATTTCTTTTTTATTAATTGCTCATATATTTTTTCACAGATATTCTACCAACCTGATTTTGTTGTTGTTGTTGTTGTTTACTGATCGTGGAACTAAGTCCATTGACCGCAAAAATCCAAGAAATAATTTTCACGAATGCAACCTGATTTTGAAATAACAGCATTGGAAAATTTTCTCAACTAATAGTTAGGTTAGGTTAGTTTAGTGCATTAGGGTTAGGAATTCCTTTGCTAGAAATAGATGTTCTTTTTGCAGCGAAGTACAGAAAGTACAGATCCAAAGGACGCACATAATTGGTGTATATATGTGTAGTATGTTATTAAAAAGGAGAGAATCGACGAATTATATTCCAAACATGTTCTACTGTAAAATCAATCGGTATGTCTAACAAACTTGTACAATAAATCTAACAATTTATTTACCTATATTTATAATTTGCACAAATGCATATTTTGGGATTCCTACATTTCTTACATAAGATCTGTGTTTTTTAATTGCATTATGTTATATTACTCAGCCTCTTCTAGATTGCATTCTAAAAAACGTCCTTTTTGAGGAAAATTTTACTAAATATCTATAGTTCACGTTACATATATTATAGAGTATCGAGTAAAATTTCCTCAGAAAGGACGTTTGGAATGCAACCTTAGTGTGTGTATGTGTGTGTATATATATAAAATTGAGTCGCATCAGATGCTGCACGGAAAGTCTGCAGTCACGACATACTCTATCGGAAGGCTGTATGCGATTCTAACCAATCCTAACCTCGGTCGACTTCGTGTATCCTCGGCACAGAACTAGTGCCAGTAGTGTCGCTGACAGATATCAGCTGTTTCAGTAAATAAACCGCCGCATTTCGACGATGGACGGCGTCGAGGATACTTCAGATGACTATCAAATAACCGACGAAGATGTTAACGAGTCGGACAATACCAGCGAATGCTTGTCGCAACGAAGCGAGGGTGACAATAACTGGTATTACATGCCGGACTCGATTCTGCTGAATATCTTTCAGTATCTAACGCCAAAGGAATTGGTGACTGCAGGAGAGGCATGCAGATCATGGTACAGAGTATCGCATGATGAGTTCCTTTGGAAAGATTTATTTTATCAGACGTACAAGATAGACTCAGATGTCGGCATTATGCCAGGTATGTCTTGTCATATATTCATGTTATTTTTACGCAATTGAAAATATAACATACTAGAACATAATGTAGAATGATCAACATGATATAAATTTGTACTATAGTCCAGTTTTAAAAATGCTCTAAGTTTTAAACAAAATTGTTCTATTTAGTTATAGTTATCTTACATATGATGCATGTATATGCACAAATACAAGAGAAATGCAGAAACAGTAAAAGATAAAAAATTAATAGGATTTAGATGTGTTACGCAACAGTGAGTTTAAGTGAATTTTGTAATGAACATAATATATTGCATTATTTCTTATGAGTAAGTTTATAATGTTCATTACTTCAATACTTCATGTTCAAAACCTTACATTTGATTACATAAAATAAGTTTTTTATATAATTTTATATATTTCAATATAATAAATTTTATATATTTTAATGTACTTCCCAAATATTATATTTATATTGTATTTTATAATTTTAATTGTACTTCCCAAAAAAACTACATAGAAAATTACATTACTTTATACATATGCATATTTTTATATTGATATTTTGTCTTGTGTTTGTATACCTTTAATTTGATTCAGGAATATTATTATTTCTTCTAGGGAAAACATCTTGGTTAGGAGAATTCAAACGTTTGGCATATCATACTCCGTTAATAGAAACAGAAGTTCTCAAGGAGCATTCACATCAAGTGTTACATGTGAGCTTCTCTCATAATGGCAAAATGTTTGCAACCTGTTCAAAAGATGGATATATCTTTGTAAGTCACATTTTTTTATTAATAGTAATTACATCTTTTTATTTTATACAGATTATACAAGATATGTATGGTATTGTTTTAGGTATGGCAAAGTCAACATCCTGTTGCTATAAAATACTTGCATGACATGAAGACATTTAGTTGGAAATATACACAGTTTTCTCAATTTAACTGTACAGATACTTTACTTCTTGTGTCTGGTGTCCATTTTGGTACACCTCATAGTACTTCAGGAGAAATAGCAGTGTTTAGGGTAGCACGTAAGTAAAGCAAGAGATCAAGCGTTATAGATAAATGATCATGTGTCATAGATAAAAAAGCTAATATAATACAAGCCGATAAATGATAAAAAAGACGTTGTTGTTGATTAAAAATAGCAAAGAAAAATCTTTAACTCTCATTTGTATATATATATATATATGTGTGTGTGTTTTGTTTATCTGCAGCTGGCTTTGATCTGCAATGCAGAGTAGTGAATAAGCCATATGACATATTTGGTACATGGTATAGTGAACGTTACCTTTTGAGTGGAAATCTACATTGGTTAGCACACTTGGTCAGCACAAGTGTGCTTTGGCTCAATAAGGCAAATCAGGAATCAGCTAGTGAACATGTGCCCATTATGACACAGCTTTTTAGGTGAAGTGACAACTCGACATGTCCTTCCTCAATCAACTTTTGATTTAACTTCCTGTTACATGAATATAATCGTCTTCTCTTAAGTAGAATATCTATTTTCGCATAATTGTAATGATTTTCAGGTTCTACAATGAAAATGCTTCCTCAATCAGAGCTATTATGGTTGCAAACTGTCTAGCACCCACGCCAACCGAATCTACGGAACAGCAGAATCAACCGTCATCTTCAAATATGAAAGAAGAAAAAGGAAATCCGCCAAGCCATAAGGATCTATTGTCACCAAACAATAGCTCTCAGCAACAGCAGGAAGAACCGGTAGTGCTACACCATGCTTCGTCGAGATTGCAGTATGAAATTTTTTTTTTTTCTTTATATATATATATATAACAATATTCACACGCTTACACTAGTGATTAACATCATGAAATATATATATATAATAGATATAGTACATTAGAAGGTGGATTTATGAATTGGAGAAAACTTGGTGATGGTTTTGACTATGCTAGTCCTATACAGTACAACCAGGAATACAGGCAGGTTGAGATGGAGAAGAAAGCGCACGAAAGCGACAGCGAAAGTGAGAATCCACAGTGGGAAGAGGAGAGTGAGTCTGGAGGTAGGAAAGTATAGCAATGCATAATGCAATGGTAGGAAATTATATTGATTAAATAAATTATTTGTTATATGTTATACGACATATATGTACAAGACATGCGATAGAAAATGCGCAAATTTACAGAATCATCAGTAACTGAGGAATGTGACACAGACGAGTTGGCAAATAACCCCGAAAAGTTTCTTATTTTCACGACTGGTTCAAAGACGTATACTCCCCATAAAGTTGGCTTTAAGAGAATTAAATTAGTCAGTTTTCCAAGAAGACTGGATCCAGGACCATCGCTACGCGAAAGAATAGCTCAACGGGAAAGGGAGCGAGAGAGACGGAATACCGCGTCTTTAGATACTAATTGGTTGGATTACGAGTCGGTGGCGGATAGATTCGATAAAGTAGATCATTTGATCGATCTTCATGGTCATATTATTGGAATGGGACTTTCTCCCGATCATAGGTCAGTTAACGATGCAATAAAATACATATTAATGTTAATAAAATATATTTTAGATGCATTCTAGCTAATTATGCATAATGTTCTTAGATATCTCTATGTAAATACAAGGCCATGGCCAACAGGTTACGTTATCACTAATCCGTTACAACCACCGCCGATAGCTCAGGAAATTGACATACATGTCATTGATTTAGTAACGTTGAAGCAAGTCGGAACCATGTTAAGGGCACACAAGGCGTATACGCCTAATAACGAATGTTTCTTTATATTTTTAGATGTATGCAATGAATATGTAGCGAGGTAATCATCCGATTGTACCCAATTTAGTGATTTATAATTTGGCACAGAATTTGATACTGTCGAAGCATCAGATGTTCACTATGAAATATCTTTGTTTGCAGTGGTGCAGAGGATAAACACGGTTATTTGTGGGACAGACATTATGGAGTTTGTTTAGCAAAATTTCCCCATAATGATGTTGTCAATTCCGTAGCTTTTAACCCACGCGACCCTGAAATGTTAGTTACAACCAGTGATGACTATACAGTCAAAGTATGGCGGAGTCGTGCTATGGTGAAGGCCTTAGGTTTAGACGAATATAGTTATCCGAGAGGGTTAGAGGTACGAAAGAGACGTAGGTTTCAGAAGAGCAGTTGTAACATTGACTGACTAAAAACTATCAAGTTTCCAATTTAAATGTTTATTTGTACAAGATCCTAAAGATATTCTCTTAAAGATTATCTTGCACTTAAGTTTGTACTATACAGAATCGTCCAGAGTACTATGTGTAAAGGCACAAATAATCCGAATATATTTTTGATTATCTAAAATTATGCAAACGCGTATACACGGGCAAACTTCCGTTTCTGAGTAGTAGGTTATAGAATCTCACGTTAGGAGAAACCATTATTTTTAAAAAATTACTAAAAATGTTAAAAATGTATATCATGAAGAAAAATATATTGTTGTCGTGTCTATTGTTACAGCGTGCAAGCAATTAATAGAAAATATTTGACAAAAAATTTGTAAGCTGCATCAATGACTCAAAGATAAAAAAAATCAAATTATTTTTAAATGGCCAGCTTAAAGTCTATATTCGTATAGTCTATATCGTGAAACAAATTCAGAAATGTATCTTCTGATAAAACTATGTATTTGGAATTCTCAGTGTGCAATGAGAATTAAGCTTTGTATGGTTATGCTCTTCTTCATATAATCTAATACTATGGATTCTTTTTTATTTGATTATATTTTTATGTATATTTGAAGTATTTGTAAATTTTGCTTATAATGAAAAAACGATGAATAAATGTAAATGTGCACTATTTTCTAACTTTTTTTCATCATGCTAGCGATACTACATTTCATTTTTCTGAGACCATAATACAATTGCATGATAAGATGATACAATATAAAAAATTCATAAAATAAAAATAACATTTTGATATATTTCTAATTTTCTTTTGAGATGAAAAGTAATTTAAAGTTTAGTTCGCGCGCGCAGAGATCATGGAAAATGTATGAATATTATAATTAAAATTAATGTTAATAAAAATCATAAGTTAACATATAATATATATTTACTTATAGCACATTATATATCAATTAATTAACAAATAGTACATGCGAGAAAAATAACATCGATTTAGATATAAATTAAGGAATGTAGCGATTGTTACTTCTCAGAGAATTTGATAATGATATTAATTACATTATTTTAACTATATTTATATTCAATTATTTACTATACTCATGATCTATATAATTAACAGACTGGATATTTTGTAATGTTCCGTGCGACATCGCTGAAGCATTGTAATACAAACGCTGTATGTACTAGTGCAGAATCATACTTAAAGAGTTTGCATATCTAAAAAGATATATGCAACACTTCAATTGATATCGTACATTTCAATTTTTTTTAAATTATATTGTGTGTTTATAATTACCTACCTACAATTCACCATATCTCTTTTGCATGACACTGAGATGCAAGAAATAGCATAAAGAGATTTATTTCTCATTTAGGACGAAAAATTGTCAATAAGCATATATTTATGTTGAACCTGTTGCAATCGGTTCTGTAAAAAGAAATCATAATGTAGGACTAAAAGCGTGTTAATAATAACGTTCTTAATTACTATAAAAATCTTACCAGGATGTGACGGCATTCCTGTTTGATTATTATCTGCAGCTTTGGGTAAGACTTTCTTGTGAGCATCTTTATGTCCATGACAATGTTCACATTCATCATCACTATCCTCAGAACTACTTTCACCAAAAGTTTTTGTTTTTTCATAAATACAACAACCTGTATAAATGATAATACATTACGTGCAAATTTAATTTTATATTAAATTAATCCAATAATTATAAACAGATTATACACACATACATAAAAACTCACATTTTGATTTCTTCTTATTCAAATGTTCATTGTCAACAGTTCCCTGAGTCCATTGAACCTTCTTATTTGATTTCGGCTTTCGTAGACGTAATCGTACAGTAGGTACATCCTGTGAAAGATAAAATTATAGAAATCTTAATGACACAATGAAATTAAATCAAATTTTAAACTATGAGTGTAAAGGGTGTTATTGAAAGGTAGTTAAAGATGGTTATTTTATATATTTATATACTTTATTTGCTTATTTAATTATAAATTAACATATTTTATATCTTCAAATATATATATGACATTTAAGGTAAAAAATATATAATATAAATCGTGCAATCGTGCGTAATATTAATCATGTGTTGTGTATTTTCTCTGCCATCTGATTATTTGATCTGTAAAATCTCTGCAATTATATATTTCAGAATCATCAAAGATAATAATCATCAAATGTAACAATACTTACAAAGTTTCTAAAAATGTTGTTCTTTTGTAAAATAGAGATTTTTTACTATATACGCTTATAAGAACATACAAAAATACATAATACTTATCAATTATCTTGTACAATTTTCTGTGCTATTAAATTTTCTATTTTATCATTAGAATATTGCAATAGGTTTCTTAAAACTTCTGCTGTATGCTGTCCCAACATGGGTGGTGGTGATCTCACTATATTGACAGCATAGCTGTATGTAACAGGTGGTCCAACAAGCTTCATTTTGCCTGTAGTTGGATGATCTACCTCTTGAACTAAATTTGTATATCTCACATGGGGATCATCAAATACCTGAAAATTAAACGTCAAATTGAAAACAATGGAAATTTTTGTGTCCTAAATAATGTATTAAAATTAATTAAAGTGGGTTAACTCACTTCTCTTATAGTATTTACTGCTCCGTAAGGAAAAGAAACACCTTCAAATATCACATACCATTCCTGATTTGTTTTCTTCTTAAATATATCTCTAAGAATTTGAAGCAATTCTATTCTGTGTTTAACTCTAGCTGTGTTATCCTTAAATCTGTCATCATCAGCTAATTTTGATAATTTTAATCTTTTAACCAATTCTATAAAATGTGAATTACTTCCCGCTCCTACTGTCATATACCCATCTCTTGTCAAAAAAGCTTCATAGGGAACTATGCTTTCATGTTCAGATCCTAATCTTGCCGCATCCTTGCCTCCATTTAAGTAATTTGACGCAATATTTATCAAGCTTGCAATCTGAGTTGATAGAAGATTGCACTGTATCCATTGGCCCTTATTGGTCCTTGATCTTTGCAATAAAGCTGCCATAATTGCTCCATGAGCATACAGCCCTGTTGCTAAATCTGTCATTGCTACACCAACCTTACATGGTGGTCCATCTTTGGGTCCAGTAATGTGCAAAAGACCTCCCAATGAAGCAGCTATTACATCGTAACCAGCTCTGTTTGCGTATGGCCCTTGAGATCCATAGCCAGTTAATGAACAATATATAAGATGTGGTGCCACTTTCGCTACATCATCATATCCTAAACCCATGCTATTCAATTTGCCTGGTACATAATTCTCCACCAAAACGTCGCATTGTCGCGCTAATTCATAGATGATATCTTTACCCCTCTTCAAGTCGATGCAAACACTCTTTTTATTTCTGTTAACACTCGCGAAGTAAGTGGATTCCCGCGTACCTTCGAAGAACGGCGGACCCCATTTGCGGGCCTCGTCTCCGCTGCCAGGTCGTTCGATTTTCAGGATTTCTGCACCAAGATCTCCCAGGATCATTGTACAGTAGGGTCCAGCTACAATTCGCGTCAGATCTAAAACTCGTATCCCACTCAACGGCGAACGATCCTGTTCAGTGATCGTGCAGAGCGACCGTCTGTGTTTCCCCAGGTCGTGCTCGCGTATTAGGAGCCTCTTGTTTATCATACATCCTCGCGAGAAAATTCTAAGTACGTTTCGCATCGTCGAGAATATCTAAATACGACTTTAGAAATAACGATAACAATCTTGTCAGTGCAAGTAACAAATACGGTGTTTTAACAGTTTTTGAAGATATTTGAATGCAGCTGAGTTGTGCGTGTTGGAGATACTGAATTGCAAAAAACCATAAAGACGTAATTACACTCACACTCAGTCTGCTTATAAATCATCACTGATACCAATGATATCGTGATGATGACTATGTTGATGACACAATATTTAAACGCAAGCTATGATATTCATACGGGTGTCATCAAATTGTTTTTAGGCTACTGTCTATATGTGTATGTATGTATGTGTAAATGTCAATAATGCGGAATTTTTTTCCACTGCGTGAACATTAATCGTGACGTACACTCGAGATAAAGAGGATAAGACGGACATACACACCTGCGACCCGGAATCAGCGACGTCCGCTTCGGAGACAGTTTCCGTTTGCGAAGCCGCCTGGTCCGACATTGTTCTCTCCATGTGTCACAATTAACACGCGATATTTCTGAGCGCGAATGACACGCACGATATTATCGCATTAAACGTAACGACTAACCCCGTTGTGTTGTTTCGCGCAAAGCAATAATAAGGAAGACGCCATCTTAAAAATTTTAATGCCAGTCCGTGTATTGCATGTGCAATCTCGTGTGAAATACCCGATACAAAAATCCGGAGCAATAAAATAGCTCGAGCCTGAACTTTTTCAAGCAATTAGTGCATAATGACGTTTGAAGTTGTATGTCCGATTATTGATCACGAAAATGTCGTTATGGTCGTTCACTACTTTATATGATGGAGATAATTCAGATTCTATATTATCGACATCAAATACGTAATCTGATCTACAAATACATGAGAGATGCAATATAATACTAAAAATACAAAGAAAATAATTTACATAGCGCTTCGTGGCTTCAAAAGGGAACTAATGTCTATCAAAAAAATGAAAATTACGTTTAATCTCGGAGAATTTTTGAATTATAAGATATTTCTTATAAGATGAGGGTATAAAGATACACAAGGATATAAATGTATAAAAATTAGTAAAAAAAGAAGTCAATTTTTTTTATATTGATTTTAAATTCACATATTTCTCCTACATCACCAAAAATATATATTAAATTGTTTATCATTTTGCTTTTGGAAAATCATAATCATTTATATAATCACATTTATATAATCACATAAATATTGTTGTCTTGTTAATTATTCATTTGCGTTGTGCTATTTATTTGCATTGATGTCAAATTACGATCTTCTACCTGCATGTAGAATTGTTCCCCAAACCATTCTCTGTGCATCTCTAAATAGCTGTAAACATACAAATTAATAATATTCTGTTATGCAAGATTTAATGATTTTACTACAATTTACTACATACCTCAGAAACATATCCAAGTATTTCAAAAGTACTTTTAATTTCTTGCTCGTTACATCCGTGGATTGTAACAGCTCAGGTAACTTTACTGAAATTAAAAAAAATATGCGAATGCTTTATCATTCAGGATTTATAATTTTGTATATACATATATCAAAGTGAGAAGTATAACTTACCGAATAATCTAGTTAAATGTACAGCACCATAGTAAGTAGATGAACTTGATATACTCCCACTATTTGAATTTTCAGGCATTAGTCGCCATTTATTTGATTGCTGAAGTAAAGCATTCACTTGACCAGATGTAACAGGCGGCATTCTTAATGTTACACCTCGTGGGCTAGAACAACGGGAACTTGTACTTGCTATGCTACTAAAACAAAACAATCATAAATTATATCTAGTTTTAAACGTAAAAAAGTTGAGAAAACAAAGATTGACTTATTTAACACTTTTGATATAGAAATTACTATACAAAAATCTCCCAAAAAAATATATTAAAAATAAATTTAATATATAAAATTTCTAATAGAATAAATATTTTAAAAATAATTTATATATTACCTCGATAAATTACCACCGTCTTGTTTCCCTTCATCATAAGATCTTAATTGCCGGCTTTCATCGACTGAACTTACTCTACACGATCGTAATTTTCGCTTAGAATTGTTCAATAATTTCACTGTATTATCCATTTCTGTATCATGTTCTTGAAACGGCGGTAGATGAGCATATTCTGTATCTTCAAATTCTTCTTTTCCAAGTATTTCAGAATTTCTTAAAGCAGAAACATTTTCTCATTAATTCAAAAAAATGTATCCTATTAACAAAATTTTAATCGAAAATTTTTATATCTGATACAAAAAATTATATTTACTCAGGTGATTCGTCTTTTACAACAATTGCTGGTGCCGATACGTTATTGCATAACAAAGAAGCTTTTAGAGAACCATACTGCTCTCTTTCTTGCCTATATAGAAGGAGATGAGGTAACGTAAAATCAAAATATATACGTAAGCCGTCCGCAGTTTCCCTGCATATATTTACATCGTTCACTGCCTTTTCTATTGTATTATATGCTTTATTTCGTTGAGGTTTTTCTGGGATATTCGTTAATTGTGTTGTAGTAAAATGTTGTACCCAAGATTCCAAAATATTTACTACAGTAGGTTGTGCAGGAAGAACAACAAGCTGAAATGCATGTTATATTTGCGTTTAGAATTTTTTAGGAAAATATTTTAATTATCTGTCACTTAAAATTCTATTAGTAGATATATGTTATTTTTTTTTATTTTGGTAAAATACAGACATTAGAGATAAGATTCAGTAGTTATGATAAAATTTTTTTTTTGCAATTTTTCTTTATAATTATATTTTAATATAATACATTAGTCTGTTCTTAAGGTTAAAAACAATGTAATAAATAAAAGTTACTTTGTTCTTGTTGACTATTAGGTCATGATCCTGCTCTAAAAGTCGTTTTAATGTAGGACCTATATCAAGATCCACTGACTTCATACTGGCTCCAGATTGACTACCTCCACCACTGTCTTCGTCATCACTAGTTTCACCCATATAATCAGAACTACTCTCAGTATCTTCTTCTGTATTTACTTCCTGTGTTAGTGTTAAGTGTATATTTTTTGTTATAAGTTGTTATGTAAATATTATCATGTAAATATTATCATGAAATGAACTTTAGAATATATCTTGCCTATATAATGCCATCGCAGTTTTAATTGTTTCTGAGTTTTAATTATCCACTCATTACTAGATATTCTATTGTAAATATTAATAAATATTGATTATTAGATATTATATTGTAGAGTATTCTAATTTTATATATATTATAAGAAATGAAATTTACCTCTGTATCATAATCAGCATGTTGTCCTGAACTGCCATCTTCTGAAGATCCAGTGGTAGCCGACGTAGCTCGGCTGCCGCCACTTCTTGCCCTACGGCGTGGCTCCTGATGTTCAGCTTCAATTAAACGTTCTGACATTTTGTGACTTCGCTTTTTACGTTCACGGCGGTACAGGTATGCACCCCTATTATGTTCAAATATAAATAGTATGACAATTTATAACTGATTAATTATACAAGCTCCATATAACATTGCACCGATTTTAAGAATACATACAGTTGTAGTTGCGCTTTTTGTGCTAAATCTCGTTGAAGTTGGCGATTTTCTTCTGTGTCTTTAAGCACATATTCTTCTGTCACACAGCGATCCCAAGATGAATTCCAACCCTTATATGATAATATGATAAAATATTTATATCTTCTTCGACATATACTGCACTTACCAATTTTAACATGATTTACATAAGATATTCAATGAATCTTAATACAATTTACGAGGAGGTGATTCCTTATAAAACAAAAAAGAAAAAACAGACTGACCTTTTAATTCATTGGTCAAACAGATGTGTATGCTACTTTGGTATTCAAAATTATTTTCCTCAAAAATTATGCAACCAATTAAAAAATTTATATTTCTTACTTGTTCTTTCATGAGAAATCACCTTCTCGTCAGTTGTAGTATGATTAACTGGACTCCCTGTATAGCTAAGTGGCTTCGATTAAATTCTTGCAACTCACTTGAAAATGTATGAGATATTCCACAGCTTTTCTACCTCTTTGATCTTTATTTACAATAACATCAAGTACCTAAAAATAATTTTATAATTATCTATTTCAAAGATATAAACTTCTCCAATTTTAGATTTATTTATATAAATTCATAGACATATAATGTAAGCTTGTTCTTTAATTTCAGAAACCTTCTTAGAATTTCTTAACTATAAATTATATTGTTCTCTTTCTCTATTTTTTCACTATATATATTTTTATAAAAGAAATTATATGTTTTTACTAGAACTTATAAAATCCAATAATATTTTATAAACAATATTGTTAGAAACTTATATTTAAGATGTATAAGTTACCTTAGAGTCGTACAAAACTTTTGCCTTTGTAGGATCTGGCTCATAGCACAATACTTTTTCTCCATCGCAAAACTTGAATTTCGGACCTCGCGTTGACACCATTTTAAATACTTACTGGAATATAAAACATAAATATTTATCTATCAATTACCATTATAAGCAGATGATTTTAAATATATAAAGAACTAACATGGCCGCTGATCAGTCAAGTCAAAAATAAGCGACATGAATATTTAGCGCACATTTAGTACATGTACAGAGTCTATATTGATTCGTAATCACTATATTTCTTATTCTTACAAAATATTCTGCAATAAATCAATGTTTTAAGTATTATTTAAATTTTTTAATGATTTCTCCTGTAAATGACCACTTCACAACCCGGTACGAAAAGCAAAGAACGGTTGTATGTAAACTAACTTAACCTAATCTTATTCCCAAACCATAAACTAAAAAATCATAGAGATTGAAAGAAACTTGAGAGTAGCCATGACCGCGATTTACTTTTGTTGAAGCGCCTCTATATCCATATAACGGGGATATAAACTACGTAGTCAAATCCATGATTCTTCAGTTGGTAACCGATAATGTCCAGCGATTTTGTGGTCCTGCTCCAGATCTATTTTCGAATCTTCTCACACATTTACATTGGAACTCACATGATTAGCTATCCGATTTCGATAAAATTGGTTTTTATGTTTCGCCAACCCTCATGCAAAATGATATAATGATTATCCAGATCGTAAGATAGACCGAAGCTTTATCGGGAGAATAGTTCTACTACATATGCAACTTTTACACGTAACCCATTGTATGAATATACATAGATGTATGACCACAAATATTCTCGGGGAAGGTAAAAAGCACAGTACTTAGGTTGCATTCCAAAACGTTCTTTTTAAGGAAAATTTTACTCAATACCTATAGTTCACGTCACATATACTATAGAATATAGAGTAAAATTTCCTCAAAAAAGACGTTTTGAAACGCAATCCTAGGTTGCATTCCAAGACGTTTTTGAGGAAAATTTTACTCAATACCTACAGTTCATGTTACATAAACTAGTCTCGAGTAAAATTTCCTTAATAAGGATGTTTTGGAACGCAACCTTAAGCATCATTTTTGAAAAAATATATATATATAGATGTAATAAAGGTAAATTTATATTCACTCATTATTTCAAATTAAACTTTTTTTATTTCGTACAAGATAAAGTCGAGATTAATTTTACATTACTTCTTACAATTCTTTTTACTATTGCACACTCTACTGTCACAAATTACTCACTATAATAAATTTGTATCTGTAACACACAAATGCGTTTCGACGTTTCCTATGAAGCTCGACTTTATCAGTACACGCTGCTTCCAAGTGAGAAGTCTAAGCACTTTGCAAAGTCAACACAGCTATAACTATTTTTAACATTTAAACATATAGTCATTAAATTTGCTTCTCTGTATTGTTGGACCTTTGTTAAATGTTCGTTCAAATCCGAAACTACATAAAATATTGATACTTCCAATTTACTAGTATAATGTATTTGATATACCAACTAAAATAATTGTGTGTATATATAATCATTTTATAAATAATTATTTTCGAATCGCAATAGCTTTCTTACAAAATCAACCAATCGCTTTTCGACAATTTATCAAATAATCGGTCAATAACTTAATTGATAAAGCCTAATTCAAAGCTTCAATATTTAGTTAATATTTGTACGAATTCTAAGATAATACTTGTACATGACTAGAATGAGATTTTCATTAACTAATTAACTCATAATACTGCGGTATTGCATATGTGTAGAAAATACACATATTTAAGTAATATCTTCACTTATTGTGTAGAGAATTTAAACTTCTCAAAAAATTTGTAGGCATTGCAAGAAAAGCTTCAGAAATTTAGGCAAAAATGCAAATCTTTTCACACAACGTTTTTAAACTTACGAAAAACATATGTGTTTATAAACAAGCATGTTCTGAACATGTCACTATACTTGTTTATAGATAAATATATTCTAAACAAACTCAAGCCTTTCTTGCACTCTATATGGATGATATAATATGCACGATAAGTATATACAACTTGATTCAAGGCACCATTTAGAGTATAACCAGAAAACATACAATTTTTACGATTAATATTAAGTAGCTCGCTGATGTGAATTTTTTGCGTGTGTGATACAATCTTCGTTATCGAATAGATCACATATTTTATGCAATTTTAGGTATCACTGGTTTCTTCAGAAGACTTGTAACAACGGTTGAGAGACTAGCTTTTAAAAAACTGATCAGATTGGGAAATTTAAAAGTATGTTTTAATCACAGACAAATATCATTTAACGACTCTAAGGCCGGTATTCATAATCCGATATTATATTTAAGATCATCTTAAGTATTGTCTTAAGATGTCATGAACCAATCACAGAGTTATATTTGTATCTTAAGACATTACTTAAGACGGTCTTGAAATAAGATTCGACTATGAATACCGGCCTATAACCGTTTTTCTGCACACAGCTGTTGATAATATGTAATAAAAAAAAATAAGTAAAAATAAAATCGGAAGAAATTTGAATAATTCTATTCAAATATGTAGAATAAATTTGATCTTAATGTGAAGCAATGTTATATTAAATGATTTAGCGAAATGCAAGCGCAATCGTGTCATTTAACACGAGATGAACGAAAATTGTTTAACAAAACTAAACGTTTCCGTATAATAAATTAGACATCACGGAATCCATCTTGATAACTTGTACTTTCGATGTCAAGACTTTCGTTGAGTCTATATCATACGAGGACCAGTAACTTATTAGTTCAGGAAATTCATCGTTGTTGATATACTTGACGGCGATGGAACTGAACTGCTCCCGCGAATTTAAATCGGGTTGGCAGTTAAGACCATGGCACAATTGCGTTAAGTCACTTTGACTAGCGTTAATAGCTTGTACATCTGTATAGTTCACGAAAACTATTAAAACCCTTTCTACGAACCTCTGCTCCGTAACGGACGTTTTTTCTACATGATCGGATGGCGAGTCCATCCACTGCCAAAATTTAATGGCAAACCCACAAGTGTAAGGTTTATCCGAAGTTATCAGGAATGCCGGCTTCGATGCGAACGTATTCGAGCTCACGTAATCCCAAATAGTTATCTGTTCGTTCGTCAATTTTTGCAAAGTTAGATTCACATTAGTTCGACAGAGTTGCCCCGGACATACCCCTTCATTTTCTATAGTCAAGTGATGATAAAGCGTAGGCTTCCAGATGTATTCTTCGTCCGACACTTTAGCTATTTCGAAAAGTCGTGGCAATGCCGTTAATTTAGCTGCGAGTTTTGTATACGCCTGTGATATTTTTACACTATGGAGTAAACCTTTCAGAGACATGAATTTCGTCGAATCTGCAATAAATAAATGCCTATTAATAATCGCGATAAATAGACAAAAATCATGAACAGAAGCTAGAATACAAAAGTGTCTGCAATACGTACGTTTTGCTTTATCATCGTAACAGCTATAAGATATGCTGCTATTGGAAACAAGATTATATATATCAATAGAAGTGCAGTTATTAACTAAATAATGTCCCAGTAACTGGCCAGTCTTTCCTGATAGCAGAATAAAAGATGACACATTAGCATTGTCTACTGATATACTCAATAAGTCTTCGATATCGTCCGCATCGATATCCGGTAGGATGACTGGTAATTTGGGAAACGTATGAATGGTTGAAGTCCAATGAATTGTTCCAGCAATTGGTTCTATGCTAACAAGTAGGCCTTGTTCACCAGCAACAATGCAGTCAGGCTTTCCAGACCGATCTATGTCAATACTAGTACAATCTATGATAGTAGGCAATCTTTTTAGTGGAACCAGCCATAGCGGCAAGCCACTACTCCCTTGCATTGACATGACTCCTCCTCCTTCTGGTGGTATCTGTCTTTGATGTAATATTCCATTCTTTGTATCATTATTCTTATACCATTCACCGTGAAGAAGAAATATTAAATTGTATGGGAATCCAGGTACTATAGTAATAGGCCCTTGTATCTCTGCCAACATTTAAAATAATAAAATAATTATTAGCAAACATCATAATATAAATGGTGTTCCTTATTATTTACTTATCTATTTTTTACATTTACTTGTTCTGCTAAAAAGATATTATGTATAATATATGCTTTATAGTGATGGACTCACCTACACCTTGCAATGTTTTATCCCATGATATTGATGATTGTGGCTCAATAACTGGTGGACAGACCATTGAACTGTCACAAGGTAATACATATAAAAAGATAACTATTGTAACAATGCACAATAGTATTGATACAAACAAGCAAAAGCGTCTAATTGGTGACATATTCTTCCTTTTCCAAAAATCATTTTGCTCGTTTCCTTCAACCACCATTATCGGTATATCATCTCTATAGTATTTAATTGTGCTTTGTCTATTTCTCGTGTTATTCCCCAGATTTTTTGTCTCATCCAATGGATAAAACACACCATTTTCATGATTTGAATGCAATTCCTAAATGAAGATATTGAAGTAGATAATCATGATACGCGCATTTTTGTAATAATTATTCATTAGTGTCTCACCGCTATTGTTGTACTATTATCGACTTTGTAGGTAATATCATTAGGTTGAGTTAAACGTTCCTCCTCATCCTCGGTGTCGGTATTACTTATACTTTGTGGTAGAGGCGTGTAACCTTTGCCGCTGTGATGTTCGACAGACATTATTCAAACGTGGCATCGAACGATTATCCAACGTTTTTACCACTGCTTCTTTCTCAGTATAACTATGTCATAATTATCGTTACGATAACGCCATGCTCAAACGCAAACGCGACCAAGAACATGAGCTGCGACACTACTCACAGAATGCGGAAATGCTTGTCACACGCCAAGAAGCGACGCAGTAGCCAATCAATGTGCTGTTTTTCCATAAGAACTAGAAATTTATCGCATCGCTTCCTATCATGTTTCCACGTTCTATGCGTGCAGCAGCCATTTAAGCCTGATCTACAATGTGTTCTTTGCTTCCTGTTTCTTGTTTTCTGTCTTTTTTTAGTTTAAGGTTTAAGGCTTGAATCAGAAAGAGATTAAGGTATTTATCTCTTTCTGATTAAGTTAAAGTAACAGGAAGCAAATAACACATTATAGATCAAGCTTTAAAGACTATTCATTTGCGAAAAACCTGAATAAGTGTATATTAGTAGAATAAGTTAGAATAAAACAAATATATTTTGTTTAAAGTTAATTGAAAAAAAAAACAGACCTATAAGTTGTTAAATTCTGCTCTCTGATTCTGCCTATATTTCAATGGCTGCGTTCTAATATTTACTGTCAGTACTGAAAATCTATACGTGAATAGAGAATTGAATTCTCTATTAGAAAGTTCTCCTATTAGATATCTGGGCCTCTATTCTTGAAATTTTTGCGTATACGTAATTTTCATTGCGCAGCTATTTACATTGGACGCGGTGTGAATCCTCCATAATGGTCCTGGCATTCTATGCGGACATCTAACGCAGTGTGAATCCTCCATTATATTTAAGCTCTTAAATTCATTTTCAGATAATGTACAAATTATTTCATTGGCTACGGAGTATCTGAAGGAGAACTTAAGATTAAATATAAAACTTAGGCCTATTCTTTTTCGCTGCACTACTGACTGCAATAAGTTAAAGCGAGACACATATGTTTTCTCATTTTACCTTATTGCACTAGTGCAATAGTGCAGCGAAAAAGAGTAGGCTTATTGACTATGAATGCCGGCTTATTACTATTACTACCTTTATTGTTTTATCACTTCAATTGGTTGATGTTCTTCTAGTCAGAAATAAATAACCTCTAGTACAGAGAATCGCCAACTTGATCACGTGACCAGCTGATTGGCTGGCATAAATATATACGGATTTAGACATTGCGACGCCAATGCTTATATATATATGGTTTTGCATCGGTATCACAATGTCCAAATTCGTACATGTTTATGCCAGCCAATCGCAAAGTAGCTGAGTAGCTGGTCACATGACCAAGTTGGCGATTCTCTGTACTAGAGGTTCTCTAGTCAGAAGTAGATATCGTCCGCCGTTTATAAGAAGTAGAATCTGTTTAATACTGCAAACGCTTTGGAGCGTATAAAGAAAGATTGTAGTTGGTCTATACAGCGCTTCGAAGTGTTTAAAGTGTTAAATTAATCTTGTCCTGAGTGAGTGAGAGAAGTTGCAGAAATGCATCTTATTTTAATTTTTACAGCTTCTCTCACTTCTATTAGGGGTGTGTTCCACTTAACGCTCGCAACGACGCGAGTGTCATTCTATCTTTGTTTAACATCAAATGAGTAACAAAGATAGAATGATGCTGTGTCGTTGCGAGCGTTAAGTGGAACGCATCCTAGGTAATCTTTAAAAATGGCGGACAAAATGGGGACCAATCCGGAATTATACGAAACTTGTATATGTACTGAAGATTATTTAAATTTTAATAAATATATGAATATAAAGATAAAATATAACACGACACTGTTTGGCAGTAGAATAAGAAAATAACAAAAATTAATATAAAACATTCACGCGAGTATTAATTTTTCAAGAATTTATTTATATATATATAGCTACATAAATATATATCATATATTAAAACTTAAGTCACTTTGAGTCCAAAATTTTATGCATTTTGTAACACATTTCTCCACATAACTTCCATCTATACATGTAATATATATTTTTTCTTTATATTTTCTATTTTAAACAAATATATATGTATATACTTTATCCATTCATCTTGAATATTATTTCTCTGATTATCTAATAACCATTAAATTTTTACTATAGAGACGTCGTAAGCATTTTAAGACAAGAGGGATCTATAAACTCATTTTTTTTTTTTTATAATTAGGTACAATATATCCTTTCCACATATGACCATGGAAAGGTACCGTGCACGTACATACATACACTAGGATCTCAATATAACATATCACAAATTAGAAAGCAGAGAGATAAGCCTATGTTGACATGTTATAATTTAAAAAAAATTAGGTTTAAAGATTGAAATAATAAGAAAAATAAATGATAAGATGAAAGCAGATTGTTGCAAATTTATTTTATCAAGATGACAAGTTATATCCCAAAGTCAGTATTCCCAATTCAAGAATTATATTAAGATCCGAGTGTACTTCAGCAGTTTACAAAACGTACTTATATAATTTGTATTAATCTAATCACAGAAAATTACGTTTATAATTGTGCCATATATCAATTCAGTATATATGAGGTGATTTATGAAATAGAATAGTTTTTTAAAAGCACAATTGGCACAATTATAGATAATATATATCGTAACCGATTTGGAGCACAATAAAATAATATGAACTAAGACTTGTCAAAGAAGATTAATCCTTAGAATCATTTCTTTAGCTAACATCCATTTGGTTGTCCTTATTTACTGTATGACATGGCAAAATAGATGATCATCTGTGGTAACTTGATCGTATTTTTATAAATTATATGATATAGCTGCAGAATATCATTAGCTACGCTAATACAAACACTTCCATTTATTAACTTCGTCATTTTATCTGTCAACTGCAAATGGCGATTAATAAACGGAAATTTATTCTGTCTAAATAATCAGTTCTACTGGTTCTTTCTCGCTATTATAATGCATAATAAAAGGTTGCGATAATACAAGTTCAAGAAGTTTAGCATTATGTAAATAATAATATGACATAAGTACACAGACGAGATGTTTTTAAATGGGATCAACAGGACTTCATATGCATATATTCCAAGATTTTCATGTAAATGTATTAAAAATACCTAATCTTGTCTTATCCAAATATTTTAAGTACATGCATATCGCTAATATTCACGATGATAATAAAAACGATGATATTTACGCGAGATAACCACAAATAATTTTATTCAATCATAATTTAAATGAGCTTACCAGCTTATCTTTCTTTCGCTCTATTTGAGAAACAAATGCGAATTCGATATCCCATGCAAGAGGAAACAGAAAGCATAATGCTAAACTCCTAAGTAGAACCGTTTTCCCACAACACTAACAATAATACTTATATATAGCATATAAATCAGGTTATTGGGACATTTTTCCCTTATACGTATTAACGTAATAAACATTCTAATTTTAATAAAAAGAACGTATTTAGCAAAAGATTAAATCAGACTCATACATGACAGACTCAGAATTGTCAATGTTTTTATGTGTTCTAAAATTAATTTTAAAATTAATCCTAAATAAAAAAACATAATGTTTATATACAAGTGAGATTCGTTTTTATCGAATTTTAAATGCACAATTACAAATAAAAATTGTATTGAGATCTACATATTTTAAGTGAAAATACCTTCTTGAATAGAATCTTTTAACACCTAATTGTATTTAATATCTAGTCGAAAATTATAAGTCGATATTTTAGAAGCTGAAGATTTTTTGTAAACGCTGCTATATATAACATAAGACTTTTATAATGCATGGTTCTTTGGCTTAGAGGTTTTAGACAAAAATATTGTGTTTACAATACTGTAGTTTAATATAAACTACCACCATAAATTTGACAAAAATTTGACTATCTAATTGGAATGCAGAAAAAATAGTTAATGCTATATGATAGATCTATCCAACTGACTGCTCCTAGGCCAGAGTTGATCACAGAAGTAGTACATGTTACAATTTTAATTCATTCCATTATATGTAATTCGTGCATCATAGTTCTGTCAATGCATAAACAAACAAATTCTTAATATAGATATGAATTTCATAAAGAACAGGGTATAATAGAAAAAGTTTTATTTTTGATATTAAAATCTTCATTTTTAATAATAAAAAAGAAGAAAACAATTGAGGGAAATATATATATATATATATATATATATTTGAATCTCTGGCCATATTGATCTCAATTAGACAGGCCTATCACATTATATGATATGACCTTTCCTTATCTAATTAAAAAATAAATGTCATTGTCATAGTTTAACAAAATATAATTATTTGATACTGATTGCACTGCTATCTGCATGTAACGTCTTCTCAAATATTAAAAAAGATCATTATCTTTTCTAATATTTTCCAACAGATAAAAATAATCCCTGCAGGAGAGTTCGCCACTCTAAATATATTTAACTTAGAATATTAATAAGCATTTAGCATACCCCTATTCTGCAATGAATCTCTTAATGATAGGAAAAGTTGCATCTGTTGTTCCGGCTTCAAACTGTAAACCTAAATTAGAAAACATACATATGTTTTAAAATAGTACTAAAAATTAGTTACACATTTCGGGCATATTTTTGAGATGACGTTTATTATTTCCTAATTACCGCTCCAAGCTCGACAGTCGAATTGTCGATCGTACGTGAGATACTCTGCCTCAGGCATCCTCATATAAAAAATATGCTGGAATCGTATCTTTTGTCAAATCGTCATTAAAACACAATTTCTTTGCTCAATAAAAAAAAAATTTTTATTTTTATAAATAAAATTGAATACTTCATTTTCTATTTGTAATATACTCTGTGTGTATTCTATAATAATAATATATTAAAAATAGAAAATGTAATATTTAATTATTTATGAAAATAAGAATTACTGAGCAAGGAAAATATTTTAATGACAGTTTGATGAAAGATCCCAGCTTATTTCATATGTAAAGATGTTTCTAAGGCAGATTGTCTCACGCGCAATCGGCGGTTAGTCTCACGCGTAGTCGTCGAGCTTGGAAGTACTGAATGCAGTACTGAGGGGACAGTAGGCATTGCCTCCCCGAAATATGCCTGAAATGTGCAACTAATTCCCTATTAATATTGGAGAGAATTGTACTACAAATTAAACGATTCTTCCTCCTACTTGAATACTATTTTACCTGCTGTAATAGTTTCTGAGGTGTTGGTGTATGAATGAATGAGCTAATATAGACATTCACAAATGTTGCCATCAGATACTGACAATCAAATCTATCCATAATTCCGCCGTGACCGGGAATTACATCGCCAAAGTCCTGCAAAATCATAAAGTCAGTATTGTTTTTAGATTTTAGATAACTAGAGTTATATATATATATATATATATTACTTTGATCTTGAACGCTCGCTTAAATCCACTAGCAAAGAATCCTCCAAATGGTCCGATTACAGAACTGAATAGCGACAAAGACAACGAATGCAGAACAAACGGGTACAACGTTAAAGTAGATTTCCCATTGAACTGCGTAAAAAAATATAATTTTATTCTTATATACTATACAGTTTAAATACTTTATATGCAAGATAAGATTACCATCTTTGATACCACTTGAAAACTCTTTGGTAATGTATACTCTTGTGGTTGAAACAAACTGGATGGTTCACAATCCATAGTCATTCTTCCTAAAACTTCGCTATACTCAATAGGACAGACGAAGTAGCGGTATTGACACATGACATATGATATCTAAAAGACAATATTACACATGACAATCTTGCTTTTATTCTCTACTCAAGAAAGGATATCGTACGAAAACATTATTACTAATAATCCAATTATGACGGTCGAAATACCACCGCCGATAAAACCTTCCCAAGTTTTCTTTGGAGATAATTTTATTAAAGGTGTTCGTCCAAAGAAAAAGCCAAACATATATGCCATCACATCATTGATCACAATCATACTAACAGGTACAATAAACCTGGAAATAATTAATATAATTATTAAAACAAATATGTTTGCATATATATATATATATATATATAAATATGATATACATACCATATTAATCCTTCGAATATATTTTTAATAATGAGATAACTCTGTGTCACAACAATAAGTAATGCAACATGTGTCCAAGCAAATAGAGAGAATTGCTTCATATAGTATTTTTTTACAAGCGAAAGTACAAACCATACAAAACCAACAATGTAAAGGCAGAATGAAATAAATCGATGGTATGTTACAAGTATACGCAGGTATCCCTAAAAACAATAAAAATTATAATTTTTATTTATATTTTCTTATTACAAGAAAATTATATATAATATAAATCTTATATTATTTTGCCCTTTATTCTTGTGTTAAAAAACTTTTATAAGGAAGCCTTACATAAAATGATGAAGCCATAATAAGAGTACTGAGATAAAGCTTTTCAAGGCTTTGCTATCGACTTACGTTAACATTTATGACATATATTTGTAAAATATATGTCAAAATATTCTACAAAATATTCTACAAATGAATTCTTTTCAAATATTACAGATGTATAACAAAAAGCTATATATGTTGTAAATCATATGATATAGCATAGAATTTAAGTTTAAAAAGTATTACTTACTGTTTGATTAATCACCACAGCAAAATAGTCCATTAGGTTTTCTCCATAAAAAAAGTAATTAGAGGTTATTAAAAAATACCATGATAATGACCTGAACCATGGTAAACCATGGATTCTGTACACAGCATATCCAATATTAATGATTTCTTCAAAACATTTCACTTGCACTACCAATGTCTACAGAAATAAAAATATAAATATATTTTTAATAGAAAGGATATATATTTTAAAGAAACATTGTATTACTTAATAGTATATAAGTATTTAAAAGAAAGCCTACCGTGACCATCAATGCTAGCGGACCTCCATAAATGATGAGACAAAATCCAGCTAACATAAACCATGTGAAAATAGTTCTAATTATCCAATTCCTCCAACTATAAAATTCAGCTGTTAGATATCCATTTGCATTGAATTAAAATAGTTGTTTACCTAAGAAAAAATAATATATATGTATTTTACCGATCCGGAAGACCAGAGAGAGCAGAACTTAAAATATGCGGGGTATGATCAGTCCCTTGAGGTAGAGTTTTGGTCAATTCTTCTACTTCCAATTTTGCATCGTCTTCAGATTCCACATCTTCTTTCTAAGAAAAAAAAAAACTCCAAGGATGTTACAAGTAATATCACTTTATGAAAAACTATTAATATGAATATATAAATATATATATATATATATATATATATATATATATATATATATATATATATATATATATATATATATATATATATATATATATATATATATATATATATATATATATATATATATATATATATATATATATATATATATATATATATATATATATATATATATATATATATATATATATATATATATATATATATATATATATATATATATATATATATATATATATATATATATATATATATATATATATATATATATATATATATATATATATATATATATATATATATATATATATATATATATATATATATATATATATATATATATATATATATATATATATATATATATATATATATATATATATATATATATATATATATATATATATATATATATATATATATATATATATATATATATATATATATATATATATATTTATATCTTATATTTATATTTTAGATATTCGTTTATTGAGAAAAATAAGAATAATACAATAGAAAATGTAATTCAAATTACATTATAGTAAAATTATATATTTTTTATAGCAACTCATTAAATCACAATTCAATATTATATATTGTACAAAACTACAGATGGCAAATAAACTACTACTATAACGGTAATTAAATCGGATAAACGGCGAAAGATACTCATTAATATTCTCTAATTAAAAAAACGTCAAGTAATCCAATTTCACCAGACAAGAATGACGTAGATACGCGTGCGACGGAACTTTAATCCAAGTGCGCTTTGTTGTGTGCACGTGTGTGTGACATTCATAGTATATATTTGCATATATATAACACACTACAAAGCCGTCGCAAAAATAGCATAGGCATATGCTTTAATGTACTAGCTGTCAAAATACATATCAACAAATAATCATTTATCACGCCAACAGCGCAGATCGATAGCCGCGCGGTCGAAATCACGAAATTTTACCGAAATTTTACCAGAAATCGTTCATCGACAAAACAGAGAATATGCGTAAGGATATTGCGCGTAAAACATGTAAATGCATAGGGCAAATTATTTACTCACCTGATCATCGCTAACGTCTCGGGATGCTGCCGATGTATCACCGCCCGTCCGTTTGCGTATTTCTGACATCACTTTTTACGTTGTAATAATTATCTGTTCGTACTATTCACCACGACGGATAAATTCGAGTGAAAGGTTAGTGACGCGTTCAACGCCGGTTTACAAGATCCAATCCTTGTGTTCACATATTTAAGAAATTCGAGGAATATGAGAGCGAACGTGACATACACATACCGTACAAAACGGATGATAGGCAGTTCAGGCAGGTTAAACAGCGATAAGTGGTTGCTCGTTGACAATCGGTTGCGCTCGGTACACTTCGGTTAATCAATGATGATAGCGCAGTTCTTAAATCGACCGCCGCTGATGCGCGTCTTCACTGGTGAAGAATGAACATCGAATTATGGTTCCTGCACACAGGACGCGGTAATGCTTGCCGTGCGGCAAAAGTCCGCTCGACAGCCAATCAATATGTTGTTTTTCCGTAAGAGCTAGAAGGTTATTACGGAAAGCAGCATATTGATTGGCTGTCGCGCGAACTTCCGCCGCGCGGCAAGTATTACCGCGTCCTGTGTGCAGGAACCATTAGGGTGCTATTTCACGTGTTGTACGACACGTATTATCGGACGTGCCGATTGGCTAATGGCTCCTGCACACAGGACGCGGGAATGCTTGTCGCGCGGCAGAAGTTTGCGCGACAGCCAAATAATATGCTGCTTTCCGTAATAACCTTCTAGCTTATACGGAAAAATAACATATTGATTGGTTGTCGCGCGGATTTCAGCCGCGCAGCAAGCATTACCGCGTCCTGTGTGTAGGAGCCATTAGAGTAGGGTTAAGTTAAATTTTCAGCAGAGTGAGAGCGAAGCTATTCTGCGCAAAAATGTACTATTTAATTTTGTTTATTACAAAACTAGAATTATTTTTAGAAAGACGCAAAACTAGAATATTTTTAAATATACTTAAATATATTTCAAATTTCGTGCATTTTTAAATCACTACGCATGCTTATTTGGGCTGCATTCGGAAACGCTCATGGCTCCTGCACACAGGACGCGGCAATGCTTGCCGCACGGCGGAAGCCGCGTCCTGTGTGCAGAAGCCATCAGGCTACGTTCCGAAATTCACTGCCAGTGTTGAAATTCTATAGTATACGTGACATAAACTATAGATTTTCAGTACTAGCAGTGAATTTCGGAACGCAGCTTTAAGTGTATCCGTTGCGTTGGAGTGAACGAAATACAATAGTGAGATAAAAAGAGAAGGAGAGAGCTCGAATGACATTTCCGAACGCAGCGCCAGTTCAGCAATATAAAATAAACCCACATGCTAGTGCACATAGTAGGTTTGTTCTTTCGACCTGAACTGGCTGCACTAGTTCACGAAGTTTGCACTAATGCGTTCTTTCGATCAGAACAGTGCAGGCTGAACTAGTGCAGCGAGTTCAGTGAACTGACTGCCCTAGGTCTGGAGGTAGAGCAAGCAGTGCAGGGCAGCTAACCGAAAAAATTTAAATTTGTATCTATAACCTGTAAAATCGGTATACCTAGTTGACATTACGTAGAAGAAATAATCCGACGACGGAATCTATAAACAGTAAGTAAATACTTAAATATATAATAAATATATAATGTAGATAAATATATAATAAATATATAATGTAGAATGACATAAAAGAAGTATTTAGAATGTTATCCAAACAGCACAAAATATCCGAAAGACATCCTGGGAAGGCTCTTGGACGTTTTTTCGGAGGGATTTGTTGTATGGGTATCCAACACAAAACAGTTTTTAAAAGAAATAGGAATGTTCAACAAAACATAAAATGCTATAAGTGCGAAAACATGACCATAAATTGATCTATGTTATTTAATCCAGCCATGTTGTCCGCCATCTTACACTGCTTTAACTTGTTCTTAGGGCTATCGCACACAAATTGACATAACTGCATATGCATAGCATAAGACCGTATGTACCAATGAGCATCGAGAATTAAGTCGCCATATTGATGTTCGATGCTTAATATTCGATGCTCATTGGTCCATATGATCTTATGCTATGCATATGCAGTTATGTCAATTTGTGTGCGATAGCCCTTACCCGTTCTTTTCAGACCCATATGTATCTTTGCACTGGTCTGCACTATCTTGAACTTTCTTCAACTAGTACAGTTCCAGTGCAGCCCTAGGTCAGGTCGAAAGAACAAACCTAGTGGGTCTGTTTTCTATTGCTGCACTGCTGAACTAGTGCAATAAGTTAGAGTGAGAAAATATATGGTTGTCTCACTTTAACTTATTTCACCAGTTCAGTAGTGCAGCAACATAAAACAGATCCAGTATAATGGAGTTTCGGTTTAACCGCCGGCATGGTAAGACGTGTCTGAACGAGTTCAGACCGGTGATTTTTGGAAGTTGTCTTGGAACGTACCAAGGCCTTACTCATTCATACTTATCTTTGTTAATGGTGAAAGGGTTACTTTCAAAGGCCTGTATACCAATTCGGAGAGAGAGAGACAAATACACAATATTCCGAAGTTTCAGATAAATCGGTGAAGAAGCTCGTCTCTTTGACAATTGCTTATTTCGCATTAAATTGCAAAAAATAAAGTTGCAACGATGCCTTTACCACCAAACCCTAAATTTTTGTTGCGTGGTGATATGAATGAAAATGTATACAGTTTGTTATTCTCAATTAATTCTAATGTGGAACATCTTTATGCTGGCGATATGAAAGGTATAGTTTATATTTGGGATCTAAAGGTAAATATTCCTTCCTTTTAATAAGTTATAAAACTTTAATAAATAGATTTAAATTCTCTTTTATATGAAGACAGTATTCTTGGTTTATAAATTTATATAATCAATAAAAGAGCTAGAAAAAATATTTGACAGTTAAAAATTGAGTGAAAATTGTTAAAATGTTATATGTTATAAATATAATATATATATATATATATATATATATATATATATATAAAGTTAGAAGTCTTATTTCTTTATTATGTTGCAGACAAATAGAATAAAAAATCGACTATCAGATAGAGATGGTCCATGTTTTAACTTGCATACAACTAATGAAACTGATTTAATAGTACAACGAAATCATGGTATAATTGATATATATAACACAAATGAATCAAATTGGGTACTAAATAAGAGTATTGACTATAAACATCGCAGTTTTTGCAGGTACATTAATAGAAATGTCATAACTCTTTTTGAAGATAATACTAAGATTTGACATTATAGGTCTCAATTATTGCCTGAGAAAGATGCAATATTAGTCCCACTTGATTCCTCAGGAGTAGGGATATTATCATTGAAAACTTTTAACATAGAATCAACATTAGATCCTTCCAAACTATCTTGCTATGATAAGTTGGGTACAGTGATGGCAATAAAACCATTGATAAGTGGGTTGATTCTAGTAGCTTATGAGGGTGGACAGTTATTATTATGGGATATGAAAAAGAATGATGTTCTTAGTTCTCTCAACATACAATCCTATCCAATGACTTTTGATTTTGATGCTTCTTTGATGCAAGGAATTGTTGGTAGTGCGTCAGCTGTATTGGAGGTATTTTAAAAATTGGTTTAATAGTTCTAAGATTTTTTCAAATATTCAAAATAATTAATATTCTAAATGTAGATAAATATTATGTTTATAATCTTTTCAGATTTTCAAAATGTCACCAAATCATACTTTATCCCACAAATGTATCAGGTCTTTGAGTCATGTTTCTGGTATATCTATGCTTTCTATAAGACCAGATAAAAAAATAGTTACAGCTGGTTGTTGGGATGGTCGCATGATGTTATTTTCTTGGAAAAAATTACAGCCACTTGCAATATTAAAAGAGCATACAGAAAGCATATATGATATTATTTATTCGCATTGTAAAGTTGAGGCTTATGATACTAAATGTTTAATGGCAGCAACAGGCAAGGATGGTTATATATCACTATGGGATATATATAATTAAGGATTTTGTAAATATAGAATATAAATGTAAATACATTTGTACAAAAAGCATAAAATATAAAAATTGTTATACTGTATACAATTTTAAATAGTTTATAACAAATATCTTCCGTGATAATCTTCCCACTTATCAAAAAGAGGGAGGAAAATTATTGATTTTACATTAAACGATTATCAATTTTTTGAATATATCAAAGAATTCTGTTTATTATATACTTTTATATTGTACATTTCCTACAACTTCACTGCCATCTTACTATGTGATAAGTTTTCTTACCGACTCTGAGTAATGATATATTATTACTTAATATATGTATGCCAGGTACAAGTACTTCGTCCAAATTAGTAACTTTTTGATGGTTTATATGAAATCCACCCGCTGCTATGATTCGTTCTGCATCATTGTCGCTTTTAAAGCACTTTGCTTTTCTTGCTAGATCATACACAGTAAGTCCTGGCTCAGACAAAACATCCACTATAGTCGCACCTTCAAATAAGTCCGTCAGTTCTGCTGCATTCATTCTTGCAAGGAATTCAATTGATTTATCATACAATGCTGCAGAGGCACGTTTTGCCGCGAGCAATCCTTCCTCTGTAAAAAAAATCACAATAAATAACAAGCAGATAATGGTAATAATTTCACATAAAAATTACCTCCATGCACTAGAAGTGTAACTTGTTGCGCTAGTAATTTTTGTGCTACTCTCTGTTCTGGATTATTCATATGTTCATTCACAATTTCGTCAATTTTATCCAGCGTCAGAAACGTAAACAGTTTCAAAAATTTTTTAACATCAGAATCTTTAGTCCTAATAAAATACTGGTATAATTGGAAGCTTGAAGATCTCATTGGAGACAACCATATTGCGTTCATAAGAGATTTGCCAAACTTCTTTCCGCCTTCGGCCGTTACGAGCGGTAACGTAATGCCATAAACTTGTTTTCTTGTACTCTTTGTAATAAGATCATATCCAGACATAATATTACCCATTTGATCACTTCCACCAATTTGGAAGCAGCAGTTGTATTTTTTCATCAATTGCAACCAATCGTATGCTTGGAATACTTGATAGGTAAATTCAGCAAAACTCATTCCTGTGTCAGAGTTCAATCGTGCCTGAACAGAAGTTCTGCCCAGCATTGTACCCATCCTAAGATATTTTCCAATATCTCTTATGAATCCAATGATATTTACATCTGTATACCAATCTATATTGTTTACCATAATTGGGGGCTTCAGATTCTCTTGTTTATATTTCCAGAAATAATTCTCATGATTATTAAACACAGTCTTTATATTCTTCATAATAGATTTGACATTTTCCTCAATTACACATTTTTCTATTTCAACACGTTCAGATTTTCTATGACTAGGATCACCTATTAAACCTGTAGCTCCTCCTACTAAGACTATAACTTGATGTCCTGCTCTCTGCCAGTGTAACAGATTCATCAAGATAAGTAAGTTACCAATGTGTAAACTATCTGCTGTTGGATCAAATCCAGCATAGACACACTGTGGTGATTTGTTCAATAATTCTATTATTTCGTTTCTGAAAAGATATGTGATATTCATAAATATTACCAAGAAAGTAAAAATTAAATTATAGGAATGTTGTATCACACATAAAGTAATATATATTTCTATAACTTAGTACACTTACGCACTAATATTGGGAAATATATCCTCGTACATGCCTCTTTCGTGAAGTTTTAATACGTTTCTGCTACAATAAAATCTATGTTTGTTAAAATTAACACGTGTAACAGTGGAACACAATCGTAGTAAACAACGTACATTCATCTTGTTATATATTAATGACCTTAGAGCGAATATCATTAATTTTTTTCAAAATCAAGAAATCTAACTTTGTACTGTATTCCTTGTATGGAAATTCGTGTGTGTGCAAGCTTTTGTAATCGTTGACTTTTTCAAGTAAAATTTACCGACCGTTACTGTTGGTGAACCTAACCTTAAATAACTTGCGGTGTATGGCATCCCCCTGTCTTATACGCACGTGTATTTACATATATAGATTTCGGAGTTTGAATTTAAGACTTCTAAGTACTCGTGTCGTTAATCTCTCTTTAATGTCAGGAGCGAAAAAATGTATGTTAAAAATTCTTGCGAAATTCATCCAGATAAAAAAATATATCCACAAAATGACACTTGAGGTCAATTAAGCATACCTCTAAAATATTCCGTACACTTCCCTTTTGTTCTAACAATCAATAAATAATTAATAAATAATGTTCAATCAAAAATTAATAAATGTTCTAACAGTCAATAAATAAAATTAATATGAAAGAATAATGAGAAAATTAGGTAAAAGACGGTTAAGAAACAGTTACATGTCATGACGTTTTAGGATTATTGATTGTTAGAATAAAAGGAGTTTTTTTTAAGGAGGAGAGAATGTTTGAAATATTTTATATAAACCTTCTACAATAAACTATTAGTCATAAGCCGCAAGTGAATTGATCGATTATTTTCAAAAATAATCGACTGTGTTGATTAACTTGCCTATGACTTATGATTAATGGCTTATTATAGAAGGTCCATTAGAGGTGTGTTTAACCGATTGCAAGTGTCATTTTGTGGATATATCTTTATGTTGACGTATTTCACAAGAATTTTTAACATAAGTTTTCTCACTTCTGATATTAAAAAGAGATGCGAATACCAAGGAGCCTTAAATACAATTAACATGTTTCTCGTTATAAGGACAAGTCTATAAAAATCATTATTATCAAGAAGGGAAGATAGCGTACAAAACGAACTATAAAGCATAGCAAACAACTTTCGAACGAATGCCTTTAACTTAAATTACACCAGTGGAAGGCACAAATTAACAAGAATAAAATGTGTTAGACTTTGTATTTAAAAAATACATTATACTTAACCATCAATAATTAAGATATAATTGTTTCAAACATTAAATTTTTAATATACAAAACTTATACATGAAATAAAATATAAATTAAGGTATTGAATTATTTTGTAGAAATATATTTACAAAAAAAAAATAGAAAAAGAAGATGGTACACACAAACATGTTAAACATTAGATCAGATATTTTTCTGTTTGATTAATATAACAAGCATACGTTTATTCATTAAAATCCTGCTCTAGGTGGCGTAGCAAAGTACTTCTTCTTGTTTATTCTCGCAAAAGTACGGCTACAAATAAAAGATGAAATAACAAATATGTGTAAGTATAGATAAGTTATAATTTGTATTGTTACTTACCTTGCAGTAAGTGGAGTAAAGAAACCACGGGAGGTAGTACGCTTAAGAAGCGATTCCGTGGACGGCGTATGCCTTAATTCTCCTGTCTTAGGAGTGCATATATCATTTATGTTTGCAGGATTCACATAATTATCCCAGTAATCAGATGGGATTTGAAGTAAACTTTCTACTATCTGGAATATATATTCAGAATGTTATAAATTTCTTGTCACTTATATTAATATATAACTCTTGTGTGGGAGAAAGATAGAGAAAAGAAGTGAAAATATATCAGGGACGTGAGTTTGCTCGGGAATCAAATTTAAAATTTGCCGGGCGACTGTTTTATCAAATAAGATATACCTGGACTCTTGCCCCAATATATCTTTATCTTTCTTTTAATGATAGTCTTTGCTGTCAATATGATGTGTTCCTGAATTCGTTTTCTTACGTTATTAAAAATATCACTTACTGCAACTTGTTCCTTGGTCTCACTGAACATATCAGTTGGTTTTTGGGATTTGTAACCGATTAAAGTCGGTCCAAAGATTTTAGCGAGACTACTGATGGGCATCTCACATTCAGGACTACTTGATACTCTTTGTAGATGTAACATCAAGAAGGCCAAGGTATCTCGATTCGGTTGCGGTAGTTCTGAAATTGCTTGATAAAGCGCAGCATCAATATCTTGTTTATCCTTTTTCGTCGTTGCACGCTCAAAATCTTTCCTCAAACTGACAGTAATCAGTGGTTCATGTAATGATCTATAGAACATTAAATTTAATGTAAATACATATGCAGTGCTTGTATTATATAAATTTTTAATAATTCAGAATGGTATACCTGAGAAAATTTTTTAAAGTAGAACATATAGTCGGAATATCAACGTTGGAAAGATTCGGAGCACCTTTCCCTTTCAGGAATTTTTCCTTTAAACATTTAACATCAGCAGCTGCGCCACTTACTCTGTATAAACCTTGTTCCGTCATTCCACGTAATTCAATCTCATTAACACAGTGAACTACTATAGAAGGCACCATTGGTGGTGTCATAGGTGTATAATCAGCTATAGTAACCTGTGAATGACATGTAAAAATATATTGACTTGAATGTGCTTTACTAATTACTATAATAGAGTACTTACAGATGTACCGCGCAATGTAGGTGTATTTCCCGTTGGGACACACGGCAGTGATGCGAAACTCTTACACTCAGTGTGAGCAATAATTCCGCAATCTTTGCATTTCTGTACAATTTTCCCAAACCAGATACTGTCATAAATTAATAAAGAACATTAGAATACTTTTTTCTTTTACTCTATAAATAAATCCTACTATTCTTATCTATATGATGTAAAAATCTTTTGGATGTATCAATGTATATGAGATATCAACACTTCACAGTCCAAAATTTATAAATATAAATTTACCTTTTGCCACATGGTGTACAAGTTCCTTTCTTAACAGTTTTCTTAACAGTTTTGGCTTCAAAACTATGAGTTTTAGGCATTTTTGTGTTTAAAGTATATCCACCAATATGTGGGCTTGGCTTAAAAACATCTTCTGTGTCTGAACTGGTTGTCAGAATATCAGCTTTTGGTGCTGATGGCTAATGAAGAATAATTTTTAATTATATGCATTCTTTATACACATCATAAATGTTATATAAAAATAAGTTACATATTTAATAACATACCGCTGTATCCATCGGTATTTCGTTTGTATCTATGTGTGATAATTTGGATTTGTCACGTTCAGTATTACTCTTACGTCGTTTACGCGAGTTACGCAAAGGAGTCTGGGGATCTACATTTTCATCACCTGGTATAGCTTCAATTGTAGATGATGCAGTAATTGCACCATCTTTTGGCATAACTACAGTAGTAGTTGCTACTATCTTATCAGATGAATTTAATTCTGTGACTTTATGTATTGTACTGCGACGTTTCTTTGTGGGATATTCACCACTAGATCGTCGCTCTTTCAATTCTTGCTTTTTCTGATTTTGTAAAACAGTACTGATGTCTAAGTCATCTTCTGTTTTTGACAAGCAGTTGAGATCACTCAGTATTGAACCAGTAGAATCCAGTTCTTCTATTGTGTTAAGTCTAAAATTATAATAACACAATATTATTTGATAATCTGATATATAAATTGGGTTGTTAATAGTTTTTACCAATACTCACTTATCAATGTGCATATCTTGCATATGTATGTTACTTTGACGATTCAAAGTAGTACTATTAAGAAACTGTAATTTCTCTCTAGTCTCATTATTTAGATTTCTACCACCATCATTAAACAAGACTTTGCTGATCGTAGCAATTTGTCTCTCCTAAAGGATAAATATATTATTGAGCACATAATGTTTTTAAAAATATAAAGATTGTTGTAAAACATTTCAGTTACCAATGAATCTCTCTCAGCTTCGGCAGCACGACGTCTACATTTTTCTTCTTCCAAGTTTTTTCTGGCATGAGACAATTTTTTTTCAAGAATGATATTATCATGTTGAGCTTTATTCAAAGCTGAATTAAAACGTTGGCATTCAAGTACTGACTTTAACAATTCTTGTCTCATTTCCTCTAGGGAAAGAGCTAATTTTATGCATTCTATAAATAAAGCAATATCACGTAAATGTTAATATTCATAAATATAAAAAAATTCTGTACATATATATTCTGCCATACAATATTTATCTGAGTATAATAGGAATATAACAAATGTAACAAAATTAATTGAGACTACTAAAATACAAACCTTCTTCAGGAGATCCATTTATTAGAACATTCGTACATCTCACCATATCATCATAATCAGGTAGAAGTGATGATGAATTCATTCTGACGTTCATTATAGTTTCTCTTGTAAACTTTTACGCCACACGTATCAACAACTTGATGAAATTACCTATATAAAAAAAACATATACATAAAGTTTTTTCTTTCGTTTCCTTTTAGGAATATAGATCTATTACTTTTAAGACACGATATAACACCTCTTTCTCTTTTCTCCTACAAAAGCTTCGTAAAAAATTGTCAAAATTGTGATCTTACATCGACATTACTTCACGCCATCATATCGAAACTGTCGGAGGTCGGAATTTGAAAATCGCATCTTTTCCACGACCGTTAAGTATCAATAATAGCGTATCTACCGGAAGTAGAAAGCGCCACGCGACGGTCAAGCTTATTTAACTTATCTAGGCCAATCAGCATCGAGAAAATTAGGAACTAGCTGCGCATTGTGGCTGCGTTCCGAAATTCACTGCCAGTGCTGAAATTCTATAGTATACGTGACATAAACTATAGATTTTCAGTACTGGCAGTGAATTTTGGAACGCAACCGTGGCATTAAAGCTGCGTCCGAAATATTGCCAGTACTGAAAATCGAGAGCGTCTCGATTGACCACGGTAGATTGGACACAACCAACCGATGAAAAGAATTATCTAGTGAATTACTAGGTTGAACCAATCATTACAATCTGTGTCCAATCGTATCGTGGTCAATCGGGTCCCACCCTTGAAAATCTATTAGCGTGTTCGACTGGCCCTGGATTAATCGCTCCGAGAGCGATTAATGACGTCATAAGTCTCTACTAGCCAATCATAAAGCTTATAAGTACTTGTTTGACCAATAAACGTAGACTGAATAACCCAATCGAACATGCTATATAGTTCATGTTATGTATATGGATTGCTTTCCAACAAGAGGTACAAGTCGACACATGTATCATGACTCCTGCACATAGGACGCGGTAATGCTTGACGCGCGGCGGAAGACAGCCAATCAATATGTTGTTTTTCCGTAAGAGCTAGAAGGTTATTACGGAAAGCAGCATATTGATTGGCTGTCGGGCGAACTTCCGCCGCGCGGCAAGCATTACCGCGTCCTGTGTGCAGGAGCCAATACACAATCGATCCCCTGTATCTCATCAGTAGCATAATATATTCCGTATTCATCATATCACTAGATTTTCACTTTTTCGCCATCAAGTTTGGCTGCGTTCAGATGGGTGGGACCCGATTGACCATGATACGATTGGACACAGATTATAATGATTGGTTCGACCTAGTAATTCACTAGATAATTCTTTTCATCGGTTGATTGTGTCCAATTGTACCGTGGTCAATCGGGGCGCTCCCTGTTCAGATTCCATACCCGGGTGTATTCTATTACTAGAAGTGCTATAATATATGTAACGTATACTATAGTGTTTCTAGTAATAGAGTGCACCCGGATGAAGAATCTGAACGCACCCTTTGATGACGAAAAAGTTCACGTGAAAAGTTTCACGTTTCCACGTTTCGCCGAGTTATGTGATCACGAGTGATATATATCACGACCAATCATGACTCGATTTTGTTTATGATTACTGATACGGATATGTCTACGAACCATTGGACCGATTGGACCTACACCTAAGGTTGGTTTTGCATAGTATAGACGAAGTCATAAACGAAAGTTTCTTTGAATATATATTAATCTACTAATATATTAATTTTTGAATATATTTATCAAAAGTATGGGCAAACGGGAATGCAAATCCGACGAGTCGGGTAATGAAGCGCAAAATAATATATTTAAAGAAAATTAATAAATTAAAATGAGTTATGTACAAAGTCAACTGAATAATCATTTGATATTGATCTTTTTAGCGTCCGTTAAAGCAGTGAAATTGGTGGAAAGCGCAAAAATGATGGAGAGTGCAACGATGGAAATTAGTCCGAAAGTTTTTAAAGTTTCAAAATTATTAGTTAATATCCTAATTTCTATACAAAAGAAGTTTCCTTCTGAAAGGAAATTTAAAATGTTCAGGATGGTAGAAAGAAAAGTGAACAGATTATTTCATGATACAATCAAATACAAGAATACAAAATGTGATGATAATGTAATTCTTGGACTAGCTTACTTATTGATATTTTGGATATATAACAAAATATTAGAAGACGAAGAGATGACAATATATAACAAAAGAACTTATCTTTTAAGATGTTTAGAATTATTAAAAGAAAAAGAATTAGATTATACTGTTATTTTATTAGCTATTAGAGTTCTTAGCAATTTAGGCAACACTTATCTTAATTTTGACAAACCAGAAGATTCTATGCCAATTTTTGAAAAAGCAATACAGCTATATTTGAAATATACAGAGGGACAAGATGTATATCCAATTCCTGTTAATGTTTTAAATATTTTTGGCATTGAGAAAAACAAAGAAACAAAAATGTTATTGGAAGAATTATACGTCTTGATTTTAAACAGATTAATGAGAGCAAGTGAAAGAACTTTTCAGGCAGATGAATGTATACTTGTACTATACAAACTTAAATACTTTAATGAGCATTTACCGTATATACCAGTATCTAAAGGATATATGTCATTTATTATAGAATTACTATCAATATCAGAATATTTTTTATTACATGATCATTTTACTAAATCCAGAAATTGCCTTGCTGCTGCATACTGGATGTTAAGGAGATTTTACCTTAAAGGATGTAAAAAAGATGTGGAAAGATTTATAGGTGAAAAAACTTTGATGAATATTATGCATAAAAACATGGATAAAAAACTGGCCAGATATTGGGGAAGATATGGACTTGCTCTTCTGCGTTTATCTGTAGAACGATTACTGTGGAGTAAAGAAGAAAACGAATTTGTTGAAGCGAGTAACTTAAATCTAGAACCATCAACAAAGTTCAATGAGCAATTCAATGAATTAACAATATTTGCTGACATAGAAGATCTAAAAGAATACACTAACTTGATCACAGATAAATATCTTATACATTATGCTGATGCTAAGGAAGTTTTTACGCTTCTTACATATTGGTTTGAAAAAGCAAAAACATATTATACTCCAGATAAATATAAAATAGAATATGTAACGATTGTCCAAGATGTTTCTAAAGCATACAAATATTTTGCATACTATGAAAAAGACTTAGAAAAACAGATAAATCTACATTTAATGAGAATAAATATTTTAGATAGTGTTTTAAAGATTTTAAACAAACATCGTCATTATAACATTCTCAAACAGATCTGGATTGAACTAGCAGTTACTTATTCCACTTTATTGAATATATCGACTTCAACTGGCCACATGTATGATACAGGAAAATTAAAAACACGTATAGAGCTATTCGCAACACTTAGCATGTTTAATTTCCAATTATATTTAAATTAGTACGTGTATTATTAATGGATGGATGGATAGATGACTTGGATTACAATCCATGTGTTATATTATTTATGCATGACAGAGATGTTTCAGAAAACTCTGCAATCAAACTATTAAGAGAAAAGAAGACTATTAAGAGAAAATAAGAAATTTTTAACACTCGTAACATTTCATAAAGAAAATAAATATTTATATAGAAACATTAGAAATTTTATATTATGCTTACTTATATTTGATAGATAGATTGTAATATATATGCTAAAATAAAATTTTTATAATGTCAAATGTCGTTTTTGTGTGTAAAAATATAAAATGAATAAATATTTTATTATTATCATTAATATTATTACTGTTAGTAAAATTTCTATATCGTCCTTGAAAAATATTTTATTTACATTTGCAAGGAGAATTCAGAATTTTACTTATAAGTAGTCACATGAAAACAAGGAATATTTCAGTTAGGATAAGTAATCAAAGTGTCTTGTTTATATAAAACTATGACTATGTTATTTACATTTAGATCTAGCCGAAATTTGAAAGTAAACACGAATCAGATCCACTAATCGGTAATCACTTACTAAACGTTAGAATTGCTAAACGCAATTGTTAATGTGTTTATGTGGTGTATTCTCATTACCGTCAACGACAATCAACACGTTTCTTTTTAAAAATGTCCACTAACGAAAGTACGAGCAAGGAGGAGTGTAAATTCATCGAATCTGGTAACGGAAAAGAATAATATTTATATATATGTACATACGAGAGTTGTATAGTATCTATAAAATGATATTTTAATGTTGACTTGTTTAGCGTCCGTTACGACAACGAAACCAGTCGCGGTCGTCGATAAGAGGAAGGACTCCGTATTCAAAATTAGTAAAGAGTTTGTTGAAATATATAAATTATGTTGTTCCTTTATGACAGAAAATGAGCCCAATGAAGAGCTTAATAAAGATCTTTCATTAAGGATGAACGTGTTGTATGATACTATAATCAACGGGAAAAATACAAAAATAGATGATATTGTAACACTTGCAGATTCTTACTTATTTTTGTCTTATAAATTTCTTTATGGAAATGATCAAGAAATACTTGAAATGGCTGAAGTTAATATTATGAAATGTATAAAATTATTAAAAGGGAAAGAGCTTGATTGCAAATGTATCCTAACAGCTGTAGATGCGTATCAACATTTAGGCATTTTTCACAGTACAAAATTTAACAAGCAATTATCTTTGATTGCCTATAATACAGCGGTACAACTATATTTGACTTACACAAAGGAAGAAGAAATATATTCAGATCCTTATAATGTTGCATCATATTTTAAGAAAACACGTTTAGATTCGAGAGATATACTAGAGGAAAAAACTGGAACAAATATAAAAGCCATATTATTGTTGTATGCAAATTCAGATACATATACAGCAACGGAGAAAGAACATCTTGATAAAATTACATCGTGTGTGCATAAAATATTGAAGAGAAAGTTAAATAATCTAACATCAAGTACAAATTATTTTATATGGTCTATAGTAGCAGGGTCTTTAAGTGAATACTTCGTAAAACATCATCGTTTTACTGAGGCTAGAGATCATCTTGCTGTTGCTTCATTCATGTTAAAGAAATTTTATGAGTATATATGTAAGAAGAAATCGAAGAGTTTTTTTAATGTTTATGAGAAATGTAAAAGTCCATATGAGGGACATCAACTTGCGTCAGTTCATGTCACTAAATATTGGGCAAAATATGGAATCCAACTTTTGCATTTATCGAAAGGAAAAATTTTGTCTGATAATATACAAAAATGTGCGGTATGTATTTTAAACTCATTATCTCTAGCAAGTTCTGAGGAGGAATCCAATAAATTATTAATATCCGCTAACATGAGAGAAAATCTAAGAGAATTCACTGATATGATCACAGATACGTATGTATCAAGTTATACTGGTGCTAATACAATTTTTGAGACTATTATGAAGTTCCTTAATGAAGCAAAAACGTATTCTGCTGTTCTTGGTGACTCAGATGTAATGTCTGTGAAGATTATATTAGACATTTCGCAGATATACAAACATTTTGCATTTTATGTAAATACAGCTAATAAATTGATGCTATATGAACAGCGTCTAACGACTTTAGTAACTACTTTCGAGACAATGCTTCACGAATCTAATGTTCCATCTTGGTCGATTTTCTGTGAAACAATAATTGCCGTCAATGATATATTAGATGAGATGTGCAAAAACTTTGAGATACAAAGTAATCAAAAGGAGTTTTCCCAAAAATGCATTAAAGAAATTTTTGAAATTGAAATAAATAAAATATTAAAGAAATACCGGAGAATGTTCATTTCATATATGTATAAGTAATAAACTGTAAAAGTAAACTGATAAATTTATTATTGATAGATGAACGTTTTAGTTAACAATCTATATCGCTATTATGTTAATAAAATAAAATATATTGCTAGAAAAGTTAAAGAATGTACTCTACGCTTATTTTTCCCTAAATATTTGATAAATTATAATATAAGGATGAATAAGCAATAAATTAGTTATTATATACTGTTGTTTTTATAAGATATACGTAAAATTCTTTGTAAAGATTTCATTGTTCCGTTTTTAAAAAAATTTAAACAAGAATAAAAATATTATTATCTCCAATTATCGTTGATCTTGTTTCAATTTCTACTCTGTTCTCGACAAATATCTGATTTACTTTGAGGAAAATTGTTCATAATTTCATCCATGGTTGATCTCCCGAAAGCAAGAAACATTTCAGTCAGAATAAGTAATTAAAATATCCTGTCTATATAGCTAAATATTTATCTATGTTACTTACATTTAATCTGTATAGCTATATAATCTATATAGCTAAATATTTATCTATGTTACTTACATTTATATCTACATAAGATTTAGAAATATATACGAATCAGATCCACTAACCGGTAAATATTTATTAAGATATTAGATTTACTTAATGCAATCATCAATATATTGTACTTATTACGAATCCTCCTTATTGCCATCGATAACATATTTGTCTTTTTAAACATGTCTGTTTTCAAATTACACAACGTACAAAGTTTATCTGCTGTACCATGCAAAATTCTTTTTTCCGATGAACACAAAAGTTTTATTGCATATTTTGCCCAATATCCAGCAGTCAGATTTGATGCGAATTTTTTCCCACGAGATTTCTCATACATTAAAAATATCTGATTTTACTTTGACAAGGGCAAATTAATTAATTAATAATTTTATTCATAAGATAGCCTTGTTGAAGATAAGGAATGTCCTGCTCAAGATAAATAATCAAAATATTTTGTATACATATTTGTATGTTTGTATGTTTGACTGCTTATATTGTTTGCTTTAGAAGCAAGCAAGATTTGAAAGTATACACAAATCGGATCCATTACCACTTACTTATTAAGTGTTAACCGTTGAACACAGTCAATAAGATTTTGTATTCATATGAGAAATCCTCAGTATCATCGATAATCAACGCGTTTCTTTTTAAAAATGTCTGCTATCGAAAACATAAGCGAGCCAGAGAGCCAACTCGATAAAGATAAAACTGGGATAAAGGAATCTGGTAATGGTAAAAAGAGTAATATATCCGAAACGAGTTTTGCATATTATAGAAAATAATACTTTGATGTTAACTCGTTTATAGAATCCGTTACGATAGAGGATCAAGTTGAAGAGAATATCGAGAGTAGTGCAAATAGCGAGGACCTAACAAACGTCAGTGCAGAACTTATTCAAATTTTAGAATCATCGCGCAGTATTATGAAGACGGGTTTTTCACAAGAAGGACACCTTTCTAAAAAACAGAATAAAATAATTAAAGTGATAAAATCGAAGATGGACAAATTATACCGTGATATAATCAAACCAGGAAACCAGGCACATACCAAAAATTCAGTATTTCTTGCACAAGCTTATTTATATCTGGCTCGTACATATGCCGATAGCGGAGATTATTCACAATTAGAGATTGTCGATTTCTACATTAATAGATGTTTGAACCTTTTAAAAAATAAGGAAAAAGAACGCAAAGTCATTTTGATAGCTGTAGAAACGCATCACTTTTTAGGTTCTCTGTATTGTAAGTGGAATAAGCACGAACAATCTCTGATAGCTTTTGAAAAGGCATTACAACTATATTTGACATACAACGATGCAGATGAGTATTTAGCTCCTATTAATATATTATCATCTTTTAAATCTGACCAATCATCAGATACTGAATTTTTATTAGAGGAACAATGTACAGTAGTTTTGGCAAATTTATTAGCAGCAAAGATAGATGACGAAGACAAAACCAAGCAGATGATAGTCGATAAAGTAGCTATATACAAATATAAGTTATTAAAAAGGATAGTAAATAAGACATTACGAAATGAAGACTATATTAATTGGGCTTCACAATCAGTGTTCTTAGCCGAGATTTTCGTAAAATATGAAAGATTTACCGCAGCTAAAGATCATCTTACTGCGGCTTCCTTTATAATGCACAAATACGATATGGAAAAACCTGTAGAAACGGATGAAGAAACACATTTGATTAAGGAGGATTGTATATGTTATGGGTATAAAAAAATTATATTTGATATTAATCGGCAGTGGGGGAAATACGGGCTCAAACTTTTGCAATCATCACAAGAAAAATTATTGCAAGAAAATGTAAAAAATGAGACTTGTAAGGTTCATTGTCAGTCCCAATCAACTGCAAACTCTGAACAATCTATTGAGTCAGAATTTGTTGATATAATACCAAAGTTAAGAGTATTCGTCGTTAAGATCACAGATAGGTATCTTTCATCTTATATTGATGCTAAAGTAGTTTTTACAACTGTTTTGCAACATTTTAATAAAGCGTTAGTATATATTACTCCTGAACTACATTTACTAGAATATGTAAATATTATGCAAGGCATTTCTGACGCGTATAAATATTTAGCAAGCTATGAACAAAATGAAGATAATCAATTAAAACTGCATAAACGGCGACTAAAAGTTTTAACAGATATTATAAGTTATTTGGATATAGAAAATGATATACAGATTCTCAAACCGATTTGGATTGAAATAGCAATTACTAACTCTAATATATTAGATAAAATTACTGGAAATTTCCGATATCAATGTGATAATAAATTTAATAATAAATCAAATGCTGAAATAATTCGTGAATCAGATAACTTTATAAAGAATATTATGTGTTGTTGGGAATCATATATCAATAGTTTTTCGTAGATTATTTATTAACTGATGGATGTGTGTATATGATTTGATTAACAAATTATGTTCTTTTTATCTGCACATGGCAAACACGTATACAAAATATTTATTAGTTATGTTAAAAACAGAAAATACTTAATCTCCCTCTTCAATGATTATAATAAAATTATTCCTAAGAGAAAGAATTCCTACAGAAAAATTGTAATTTTTACACGTATTTGCAAATATTTGATGGATTTAACATAGTGTGATAAATTAATTATTATATCGTATTGTTTTAATAAGATATATATTTTTTATAAACATTTTATATTTTTACTTGAAAATTAAATAATATAATAAATATTTCGTTATTATTGTCAAAACTGTTGTCGTTATTAATTGAATTTCCATACGAAAAAAAGGGACGGGAAAGGGATATTCTTGAAAATATATAATTTAGACTTTCCTAAAATAAAAATGGTTGACAATTTTACTTATGAGTCAGGTAAAAATAAAGAACGTTTCAATAAGAATAAATAAATACAAAATCTTGTGTATACAAGCAAATATGGAAATTCGTGCGTTACATCTCTAAGGTCAATTCAAACAAACTCGTATATCGTATATCGCCGCACACTCATGCATGTACGGAAAAATTATCCAATGATAATGTCTAATTCAAGGAACATACCAACATAAGATCGTTTATATTAAAAGTAATTGGTCGATTTCTCTCTATATTATGTGATATCACGTGTTTATATAAATTTGTCAGAATAGATATTTACAATAGTTCATATGGAATAATCCTTCATATTGATATCGATTATATTAGTGTACTCGATTCTAGAGATGTCTGGCATAAGAAAAATGCAATGGCTTCATATACAAACTGGTAATGATAAGATTCTTAACAATATATTAAAAAATCATTTATTTTATTCAGTCAGTTATTTTTTAATATATTAAAAAATCATTTAATATCCAATGAATAATCTTTTAATAATAATCTATTTAGTATGCAGTGTAACAAAACAGCAGGACGAGACAATAGAGAATATCAAGAGTACGATGAGCGTTACCAAGAAATTTATTAAAATTTTAAAATCGTCGTTTGGAGTAATGAACAACGCGAGTCAAATTACTGAAGAGCAAACACAAAATATTGCTATAGAAGTAAAGATGGATAGATTGTTTCGTGAAGTAATCGATTTGAAAGACTCAAAATTCGACGATTGTGTAACTCTCGCATTATCTTATCTTTATATGTCCTATATATATATTGACAACAAAGATAACATACATATTAGTAAAAAATATCTTACGAAATCTTTAGAATTGCTAAAGGAGAAAGAACTAGATTGCAAAGCTATTTTAATAGTTATGAGGATATACAATGAATTGAGTTATATTGAAAAAATAATGGAAAATTTTATAGAAGCTGAATCATATTTAAATCAGGCATTGCAGCTATATTGCATGTTCACAAAAGAAAAGGATGATTATCCTATTCCCATTGATGTTGCAAGTATTCTTAATATAGAAGAGAACGAAAATTGTAAGTGTTTACTAGAGTGTACATATTATGTAACTTTGGAGGGCTTATTGGAAATAGATAATATAATATCTTTGTATTCTGAGCGTACAGATATACCTAAAGCTGCAATATATATGCATAAACAATTGGAAAGAAAATTAAATGCGAGTAACATTGATTATATAATGTGGGCTATAAGTTCAGCTGAATTATCTACATGTTTTATAAAGTACGGTCGTTTTACAGAAGCTAGAAATCATCTCAGTGCTGCAAGTTTTATGATGCAGCAATATTTCATAAATATGTTTTATAAAGTTGAGAAAAGTGATATTGAGGAAATAACAGAAAATTTATCAAAACGTAAATATAGACTCGCAAATTTCATAATTGCTAGCTATTGGGCAAAATATGGACTTGCTCTTTTGAATTCATCAAGAGAAAAAACAATAATTCGAAATACAGAAGATAAACTTTGTCAGGCGAATATTTCGCAATCAAGTGAATCAGAATGTCCTATGAAATCTGAGAGACAACCCAACGACTTACTTATATTTTTCGATATAGAAAAAGATCTAGAAGATTTCGTTCCAATCACGGATAAGTGTCCTTTAGATTATAAAGAAGCCAAACAAGTTTTTGTGAGTGTTTTGAAGTGGTTAAATGACATAAAAGAATATAAAACAAACAATACCACAAACGATATTATAAGTAATAAATTAGAAAACCAATATTCAGTTGAAATAAACATTTCCATGGCATATAAATATTTAGCATATTATGAGCAAGATAAGAGCAACAAGATAAAACTACATAAACGACAAATAGACGTTATAGAGAAAGCTATAGAAACATTAAAACCAACAATTGGGACAGAAATCTACAAAAAGTTTTCTGTTGAACTAATATATAGTTATACAACTATTGTGGATATGATGACTGAACATTTACGCGCAGATAAACCTGGATTATCAGAAAAAGAGTTATTGGAAATTAAACAATTGCTAATACGTTGCTTAACGAGTCTCAAATTATATTTAAGCTCTCCCGAGAATGACAATGTATGATTTATCATTGACAAATTTCATGTAACAGAGACATGTACTATAATGCTACAAATATGAAATTTAATGTGAGCGTTAATATCTATATAAGTGAAAAGAAACATTTATGCAAAAAAATTAAAGTTTATAGTTTGTTTAAACGAATATATTCAGTAGATTAATATAATACGATAAAAATGGTCATATTTTAATAATGTGTACTATACTATTAAATTAATACTATTAATAATATGCACTTTATACTATTAAACATTTTTTATTTTTGCTTGAAGATAAAATTTGTATATTATTATGTTTTAAACGACAATGTTGTTAATAAATATTTAATCATTGAGAAATTATTGAAAAAAATGTTAAAAAACAATGCAAAATTAAAAATATTTAACAGTATTGAACATTTTAAAAACGTTGATTTAAAAAAAAAAAAAATATATATATATAGGGTGTCTCACACTCTCCTCCGGGCATTTTGTGGGAACGTAGAACAGGTTGAGGTAAATATAAAAGTCCTATACCGTTTTGCGATATTCGCAATAATTATCGAGATATTAATTGTAGAAAATTTGTGAATGATCATGCAGAATATGGTAAATGAGTTATAGTAGCGACGACTCCCGTCGTGTACTTATACTTTAGGTCAAATTGAACAAAAAAGTCCTCTACCATTTTCCAAATAATCACATAAATTTTTAATTATTAATTAAAGAAGTTTATTGTACGATTTTGCGTGATAATGCACTCATTTTCTTTAATTAATAATTAAAAATCTATGTGATTATTTGTAAAATGGTAGAGAACTCTTTTGTTCAATTTGACCTAAAATATAAGTACACGACGGCAGTCGTCGCTATTATAACTCATTTACCATATCCTGCATGATCATTCACAAATTTTCTACAATGTCTCGATAATTATTACGAATATTGCAAAACGGTATAGGACTTTTATATTCACCTCAATCTGTTCTACATTCCCACAAAATGCCCGGAGGAGAGTGTGAGACACCCTATATATATGTATATACATATACATATATATATCACTTTTTAAAGAAATAACAAAAATATGTACCATATATTTATTAATTTGTATAATTGACGATTAATAATATGTAATTGATATGTATATCAGTAAGGACAATAGACACATATATAATATATTGTTATCTATATATATCATTGATTGTTCACAAAATTCATTTTTCTATGTTAAATAATTAATATAATAATAAATATCACGTTTTATATTAAACTTTTTTTTAGGAAAAAATTTACTACATAGCAGTGAAAGAAGACGTACATATATAGGTCATATATTATTTAATAATTTAATTTTTTTACATCTTCAAAAAAATATAATATTTTCCTGTTATAATTAGATTTATATATAGTTTAGTAAATAACATAAGTCTAAGTCTTTTTAAACATAATAAAATCTGTAGAAACCCATACAATAGAGAAAAAAACCATTAAGATGTAAGACCATTTTGACAAAGTAAATTGTTTTTTTGTATATATAATTTTTGAAGTTTAGAGAATACTGAGACAAGTTGCATTTGTATATTTGCTATCTTTATAGCGTGATAAACAGATTCCTGGAAACGTTGTTGACTATTCTTTAAGTTTTGTGGAACTAATATACCAAACCATTTTATAGGATCTGCTGGTTTATTCACTTCATTATTGAAGTTTTTTAAACTAATGTCAAAACATGATCTTGTATCATCATTTTCATTCATGATTTTAGTTTCCAAGTTAAATAAGGATATCATGGTATCTGTATTACTTGGTACCTGCAGAATACCAATATTTTCCTTTCCACAAATATATTTTGCTTTTGCCAACTCAATGTAACCATCCTTCAGTAACCATTCCATCTGAATAGTTTCACGAATCTTTTCTTCTATTAACTCTAACTTTCGTAGCAGTAACTCATCGATCTCCTCTGATAAAGTGTCTATGCTCTTATTCATGCTATATTCTGTGAGATTTTCCATAGATTTATATTTGTTACTGTAAATAAAACAGTAAAGTATTATAAATAGTAAAAAAAGAATATTGAAAAGAATAATATAAAATTGTATATTCTAGAATATATATTTATTTAGATAAATATATTTATATATATACTCCAGAATACATATATGTATATTCATTGAATGTTAAGAAACTTATGTATGCTTACAATTTCTATGAATATGGAGATATGTCGCACTCTGGTAATTATATATAACAGTTATTTAGTTGAATAATAAATTTTCTAACCTTATAAAATTAGATGTTCAAAGTTCTTCTATGATAAAGAGAAACATGATTTTAATATTAGAATTGTAAAAACATTTAAGAATAAAATATAATTGTTTAAAATGTTATCACTATATAAATAAATTAAAAATTATAAAGTTTTCTTTTATTATATATACTTACATATCTATGTTAACAAAATATTTCTTAAAAACGTACCGATTATGTATGATGTATGATTTTATACAAATGTTTTATATTGAGTGACAAATTCTTTGACTAATATCGTTTTATTTCTCAAAATCAAGATGAACTCAGCTGGGATGAATATGTTAAAAAAAATAAGATTTTAAGACTAATGGGATATTCACATTGCGTCCGACCAGAGAGAAGCTTGAGAGCGGCCACCTTGCTTGCTTGGGATCAAGTGTAAAAAGTGTATCAAAATTGCAATTACACTCGTAACACGAACGGAAGTCATGACGTCATTTTTAGAACCTCTAAAACCTATTCTACAATTGCGTGAACGCGGTTAGTTGTAAGTAGTTGTAAGTGATTACGACAACCAATCAGAATAAAGCAATCAGTAAATAAAACATTCGGATTGGTTGACTCTTACGTTCACGACTGCGCTTACGCAATTGTAGAATGGGCTTAAAGAATTAATGTGCACTAAGTGTGAAAGTGTAAAAAGTTCAATTAATGCGAATAAACTTATTAGATATTAGCTATTTTCAGACAGCTCATATCTTCAAAGGACGTCCTAAAAATATTTTGATGACATCCCTCCGTCCTAAAAGCGTCTTCAGAACATATTTTGGAAAATTTGTATTGTATGAGGTGCACTAGTGTGTAACGGGCATTAGGTGTAAAAGTGTGAATAGTATAAGCAACTCGAACAAACCTATATACTATAGCACTTCTAGTAATAGAATACACCCGGGTGTGGAATCTGAACGCAGCCTAGTTGCGCTAAAGGCTGATATTTCACGTGTCGTATGACAAACTTTTTGGATACGTTCATTGGTTGACGAATAGAGAACCTAGAAATACTCTATTCGCCAACCAATAAACGTATCCGAAAAGCTTGTCGTACGATACGTGAAATAGCACCCTAAAGGGACGTCTACATTGGAAGTAAACAGTAAGAAGTAGGAAGTAAGAATAAGAAATTGACCAATCATAGTTAATTATTCTTCTCACATTCGACTGTGGTTGGTCAATTTCTTACTCTTACTTCCTATTCTTGCTATTTACTTCCAATGTAGACGTCCCTTAAGACGATCTTGAAATAAGATTCGACTATGAATACCGGCCATAATAATATTACATATATAGATTTTTCGCCAATCCATGTTAAAGACAGTGGCGTCTTGTAGCAAAAAGTTTGTGAACTGTGAAAATTGCTTAACCTAAAAATTGGGCATTTTTGACGTCTTCAAATGGAGAGAAACTTGAAAGATTGCAAAAGAAGTTTTCGAAGCTTTTTTAAAAAATAATCTGTTGGAAACTATCGTGAAGTATGACTCAAATTTAATTTCTCATTTTTTTACATCTTACAAATGATTGAGTTTTACAAAAGTTTTTACAAATCTTATCTCCCGGCGCGTGTGTAAATACACTTCTATTTTATTATTGAATCATATTGAAGGATATTAAAAAATATATACACTTGTCTACATGGCTACACCGGTATTAACAAAGAAGCAACAAAGACAGAGTTTGTCTGCCAAAAAAGGACCTGTCAAAGGTTTACGAAATCTCTTGGCACAACCTTGTGAAAACTACTGGTAGTATATTACAATATTACGAAATGTACATTAAGCCTGAGTGACAATAATGTTAAATATTAATATTTTACTAACAGAGGTTGCACTATATTTATGCTTTGTACTTACTGTATAATTTACTTATTAGGCCTATTGTAAACATTGATCAATACCCAGCACTAGTAACTCTCATGAATGAGTAAGTATATTTTAGAACATAGTTATAAAAAAAAAATTTAGAAAAATATTGTAACAAGTATTCAAATATTTTGCAGATTATTACCCTTGATAAGACGACCAAATTTTAAAATTCCTGGATCAATGTTAAGGTATACCTCAAAAGAAAAACGTATATTAGCTAAAAAAGAGATATTAGAGAAAGAAATCAAACCTGATAACAATTTACTGTAAGTAAATGTACTCTGATAATATTGCATTTGCAATTCTAATTGTAGTTTCAACCTTAATTAGATTGAACTAATTATATATAAATTTTAGAAAGTCTGTAATTTTGGGCATCAATATAGTTACACGTGCTTTAGAGAAAAACAACATATGTTGCATTTTATTAGATGCCAATGTTGAACCACCTCTCTTAGTAAAACACATTGTTGTTATGGCACAGAACAAAAAAGTGCCTATTCTTTTGTTACCTGTCCTGAAAACAGTCTCATTACAAACAATTGGATTTGCTACAGCAGCTCTTGCTTTGAAGGTAATATATCGATATTTTTTCTTATTTATATTTTATCGACATTTTCTTATAAAGAGCTATTCTTTTTTTGATGAATTTCTAAAACATTAATATAATTTTACTTATACATACAGTATGATGTAATGCAATCTTCAGACAACGCATTTCATGCATTATACAAACTAGTGGTGGAAGTTTTTAAGGATTTCAAACCTCCAAAATGTTCATTGCAACTTTTTAAACCTGATAAAACATGCGAAGAAAGTACAATGCATAAGACCAAGACCATAAACATGAATTGTGATTCAAATTCAAATATTTCACAATCACAAAGGTCTGTTATTATATCTAAAGATATATATAGATATAGATCTTCACGAAAGGAGAGAGCTTTTGTACCTCCAATTGTAAATAAAAATTTCCAACTCTCGCAAGCAATGTCGGATGAACTTACAGTTTATAATAATGATTTTGATTATGTTAATAATACTGATTTTATAAGTATATTGGAGGATAACAAACATACAAATATTTTCAAGGAAAAAGAAAGTCAATCTAAAAATACAGAAGCAGATAAAGCCAAGTCGCCACATAATGAATCTAAATTAATTACTAATAACACAGATTTATCAAATCATAAAAAAGATCACGTTTCTAGAAAACGCAAAAATAATGTTACTTATTTATCATTAAAAGTAAAATGTATACAAGGAAGTAGCAATAGAATAAAGGCAACTAAAATTGTTAAGAAGAGAAAGAAGTAATATTTTAATATATTATGTAGGCTTCTAGAATAATATGAAAGAAAAATAAATTGAGTTATGTAAATAATGTATACAGTTAAGTAAAAAATACATAAATATGAAACATCAAAAATGTATTTTTTATATTATGTACAAAATTTGACCCCATTTTTACATTATGGATAAAATATATAGAAACAACCTTAAAATATCCAACAGCCAAAAACTTGTACAAGAATTACTATTTGTACATCATATGATATTGCATTAATATAATGTAATAAAATTTTTACATTGATAAAATAGACGAGTCACTCTTCTGTGTAATTAATATTTAAAAATAATTGGATATGTAAGTATTTTTAATAAATTATTCAGTATCCATGCGATCTTCTGTGATATTTAAAAGAAACTTCATAGCTAGGGGATATTATTTTTATTATAAAATATTGTCCTAGGAATGATAATGTTATCATACAGGTAAAGTTGACTTTACAGATGATTTAAACATTCTTGTAATAAACATGAAACTAACTGTACCTATATTACTCACCAAAAAAGACAGCATAGCTATAATATGCAAAATAGCACACAAAAATGCCAAAGTAGATGATTGCAAATATAGAGCACAATAAAGCGTGCTAGCTAGTGTTGTTAAATATGATACAGTAAAACACCTCCTGTCAGCTCTGAATAATGATTTAGTATAGCTCATTGGTCCCCATAAAAAACCAGAGCTGTAATATGAAAAATATTGTTATTAGAAATAAAGTAGAAAACATGCATGTCATATTTTAAAGATACATATGTATATACCTCATTAAAAGGAGAAGACTACCTAAGGAATAAAGCAAAGCAAACTTTCTTGCTTTAAGTAGCAATACAGGTATGTGAAACATTGCCAGGCCCCAGCATGATGTTCCTAGGAGGCTACATACAGCAAAGGCTGCGATCCTCTGTGTCTTTGTCTATCAGGACATAAAAATATATTCCAATTTAAAGTCAACAAAAGTCATTTGACATTTGTTGTTATTTATACATAACTGCTTTCACAAAACTGCTTTCAGAAACATACTTGGAAAGATTGCACATTGAATGTCAAAGTAGTTTGTATGTGCACACAAATCTTAAAATAATTAAGTCACTTCGCGTGACTATTTATGCGAATTTAATCATGATTAATATCAATTTACGTTAATGTAATTATTCGTCGGCTCTTTGTTATAAAGGAATGCACTACCATGGAAGGGCAATAATCATTCTGTAACCCTTTCATCCATTCTGAGTCACCTTCTGGTTCATTAGCGCTCTTTCCGAACCATTTCCCAAAGTTCGCTTTCGATATCGCTACCATGGGCATGGTGATTTTATATTGTTTTTCATTTTTGTTACTGAGGAGATACTCGTTCAACTCCTTATTGAGATCGGCCATCTTATATGTCCATCACTTCTTGACCCGATCCACTGAAACATATGGTCTGTTCTTTTCAGCTAACTGCAGAACTGGTGCAATAAGTTAAAGTGAGACAAGTATATTTTTTCTCACTCTAACTTATTGCACCAATTCAGCAGTACAGCTGAAAAGAACAGACCAATATACTACCTAGAACACGCGCTTTTTCTTGAGGCGTGCGGGAGGAGACAGAGGTTCTTTGTTTCCTCTCTTATCCTTGTCTGATTCATAATATAGTCGAGAGTGGAGTGAATGTGATACAATCTAAAGCCAGCGGCACACGATGCTTGTTTTCGTATGGATTGCTTGTTGGATGGAAATACTCTATTCTAATTGGTCCGTCTTCAGAAATGCACCAATTAGAACAGAGTATTTCCATCCAGCAAGCATTCCAGCATGAAAACAAGCATCGTGTGCCGCTGGCTTAAGTTAAAAGTTAGGCTGAGTTTCCACTTAGCGCGTCACGCGTCGCGTCGTCCGAGTTAAGCCAATCAAATCGTCCCATTATATTCGACGTAAAGTTACGCAATAAAATGGGACGATTTGATTGGCTTAACTCGGAGACGCAACGCGTGACGCGCTAAGTGGGAACGCACCCTTCAGCAATCAAATTGTCCCATTTTATTGTCGTAAAGTTAAGCAATAAAATGGGACGATTTTATTGGTCTGCGAAGGACGATACGACGCGTGACACGCTAGTGGGAACGCACCCTTATGGCTTCTGCACAGGAAAAAAATATATTTTTTTTATATGTTAAACTTTTGTTCATAAGCTTAATGGCTCCTACATACAGGACGCGGTAATGCTTGCCGCGCGGCGAAAGTTCGTGCGACAGCTAATCAATATGCTACTTTCCGTAATAACCTTGTAGCTCTCACAGAAAAACAACATGTTGATTGACTGTTGCACGAACTTCCGCCGCGCGGCAAGCGTTGCCGCGTCCTGTGGGCAGGGGGAGCGGTGCACTTGGACACGGTGCATTTGGACACAGCCAATCACAGCACCGTGTGATTAGAGACATTTGTAGGGTCCCTTGGAACAGCGACTTGTGATTGGACTGTGTCCAATTGCCCCGTGTCCAACTGATATACACCCGTGGGAAGGAGCCATTAGCTTTTAGTCCAGACTGTACTAAACAAAGAGCGCTGTTCGAGACGGGTGGGACCCGATTGACTACGGTACGATTGGACACAGATTGTAATGATTGATTCGACTTGGTAATTCACTAGATAATTCTTTGCATCGGTTAGTTGTGTCCAATTGTACCGTGATCAATCGGGACCTTAGAGTGGCTGCGTTCCGCAGAGCGCATCATGTGCATGATACGCTGCATTAGAGTGAAAGAGATACGAGAGTGAGATAAAAAGAGAGGGAGAGCACTTAGGTGATGTTCTCGAACGCATGAGAGCGCATAGGCTGCCTCAGCTCCCGAGGTAGTGTAGTCCATGCGATCTCATGCGTTCGAGAACATCACCCGAGTACTCTCCCTCTCTTTTTATCTCACTCTCGTATCTCTTTTGCTCCAATGTGTGCGAGAGAGAAAGATATACGTTCCTATTCGTCCTCTGTGCGCATGCGTTGAAGTTGATAGCCGTAAAGGAGAGTTCCCGCGCTCTTCTGCTCCCTCTTGCCACGTGTCTTGCGTGCGACGCACGTCTTCCGTGCCGCTCTCGTTCTTTCTTGTCGCTGGGCCGGTAGTGCCGAGTGAAGTGTACGAGTGAAGTGCCTTCGCTAGAGTGAAGTGTACGTTCAGAGCGTCGGGCTAGCTTAGTGCATCGTAGCGGACGAGCTCCTTGTATCTCCGAGCGCCCGATGCGCGGATGCAGCGTGCGTATAGTGCAATCGTTTCTCGCGAGAGCCGATCACGTGATCGCCACGTGTTGTAGTGCGTGCCCGCGATGTGTTAACCATAGTCCGCGTGTTCGGCGCGTTTGACCGAAAGGGCGGTCGCGGATACGCGGACCGATAGTGGAGCCGCTCGGGATTGGCTGCACTTGCCGGCTCGAAGTTAGCATCTCTGAGAGACTGCATTTCTCAGGCTTCTTGCCTCTGGTAATCAGGTGTGCGTAACGCTCACCGCTGAGCCTTTGACTTCAGCCGCCTTGTACAAGGTGACCGGCAAGGTTCACGTGCACAGTGACGTGTACTAGTGTTCAGCCAATCGCGAGTAGTGTCACGCGAGTTTTGTGTACGCGTTTCTTTCGTCAGCGATCTTTGTTTCTGTAGAAATATAGAATAAAGTTTTGTTATCTTTGTTATGTAATCGAGAGATCGCACTGGGTCTCGAACCTCCTTTGTTCCTGGTCACTCCCTGGGAAAAACATAGTAATAATTTTTGTATGCGTGCGGGAGTGTGTTAGTCCGCCGTGTGCGTCGAGCCGCGCGGTTACTCCGGCCAGAAGCGCATGCTCCGCGCCCCCGTTAGACTACACGCCACATATTTCTCTCTTTCTAAGTGTATGAACGTTATGCAGGATTCACACCGCGTCCGATTTCCGACGTACGACGTCCGATATTCAATAAGAGAACAGCTTTTTAATAGAGAACTCAATTCTCCTTGGAAAGCTGGGTAATTATTCAGTTTAGCTGCCTCACCTCTGATTTTGATGAATGTAGGCTCATTCGAAAGGTATTTGCACGAGTAACAACTTCTTCCTTTAAGAAAATCGGGGCTCTGCCCCGCGAAGCGAGATATTAATCGATAAAGTTGAAGACGCGTTAGGGTAATTGTTCAGAAGAGCTATCTCACCTCTGATTTTAATAAAAGAGAGCTCAATCGACGCGTTTGTGCATGCCAAATTTTTTCCTCTGACAAAATCGTCGCGATTAATATTTCTCTACTGCGAAGCGAGATATTAATAGACAAAGTTGAGGGCGTGTTAGGTTAGAAAATCTATCATACCATCTATCTCTAGCTATGTAACTGGGGGGCTTCGCTCCCCAGACCTCCCTATTACGGGAGTGGGGGCTGTAGTCTTTTGTGAGAAATTCACTCTAGCTTAAGCACAAGAGACTATAGCCTCCACTCCCGTGATAGAGGGGTCTGGGGGGGGGGGGGGGG